TTTAAGTGGACATTAGTCACAGCACAAAACAGCTACATCTCCACAGTGGACAAACAACAACAGTTGCAGCTCTGTACACTGACAGCACACACACATACACACACTGTTAGCATAACGTTAGCTGTAGTTACTGTACTGCAGTAAAGACAGGCTTGCGCACCTTGCTGTACCTCCTGTGCGCGCGAAATGTCGCACGAGCTGCCGGCCGACAGACAACCAGCCGGAACAGCTGTGTCACCGCCATCCTAAACACACCTGCCTAAATAAACGCGTTCATTTCCAAAAATCCTACATTACTGTCCCCTTCTCTGTAAGCGGCCATTAGACCGGAAGCATGAATTAGGACAGCAGCACTGACGTCACGGGCGGAAAACTCTGACGCTGCAGTGAAGTAGCGTGCGCGTTCCCAAAAGTCCACACCAGAGCGCGCTTCCAGAGAGGAACTGCGCATATCGTTAAGAGCGGGACATCTGCAGTTGTTAGCTAAGATAGCAAATAATATCCCCATCTTAACACCTACAGCCATGCAGTCAGGTCAGGTACTTCAGACTGGATTAAATATGTGCTGATCGAAACAGCGCACACTTTAGGAGTTTACGACAGGTGCAGCGCCACACACAACCCATCCATATGGACAGGAGGTGGGATAAAATGCACCCACCCAAATAAACTTCACACACCGACCTGAAGACTGACCAGCAGAGTCTGTGAGCTCCATTATGGAGCTGCGCTCTTAGATTGAAGAGCTCACAGCTGTTACAGCTGCATCTAAAGTCTACTGGTTTGCTACCTGAAGCATTGGTATCTTTTAAATCAGTAATAGAGAAAATCTAACTGAATACAATTAGTATTTTACTCTCTAGGAAAACCATCTTCACTGTAGCTACTGTTCAAATAACTGACACATTTTAAAGTCAACCTCGTGGAAAGTATTACAACAAACACAAAATGCAAAAAGTTCTGCAATGTTAAAATTGACATCTAAATGCAGTGACCCCTGAATAAACTTTCTTACATGCAATAACGTACAAATTGACTGCGACGACCCTGCAGCGTTCAGAAGAAAAACTCAGTTCATTCTGACCAGGGGCGTGAGTATGTTTTGGTTTTCACCATTCTCAGAAGTCAACATTTGTACAGTAGTAACAGTAGTACAAGACTTAACAACTGAAGTTACCACTAAACTGCCACTTGGGGGAGCTACTATACTTTCAGAAAGAGTATTGTCCCTCTACATAGTAAAGAGATAACGACTGATATCAATACAATACATTTAAGCAACTAATGATATAAATACTGTGCATTCAGCCAGCGTTAAATAAGTTTTCATGTCACCAATTCTAACTGTCCAAAGCTTCACCAGTTAACTGTGGTTGGACCCAATTATTGTTAAACCTTGTGTGGATTTTAAAAGGTGGGACAAACTACTCACTTCACTATGTCCATGGTAAACTGAAGCACACACATGTATGAAGAAGGTTGGGATTATAAAAATGCTACATATTTTAAATTAAGAGGCCCTGTTGGCTTTTGACAGACAACTGCCTGAAAAGGAGAGCTGATAGGTTTGCCTGTGGTGCAGGTGCAGTGTAAGTATTTAACATTAAGAACAGTTTGGCTGTACAATTAACAACACTACACTCTTCACTGTAGAATAATGGCATAGACGCCATAATGAAACACTTCCTTTTGAATGTCTAGTGTAGCTGATGCTGAAGATGTTGATGCAACATGACTGCATTAAGTTAATTCATTCTTACGTCATTAACTGAATGATAATATGTAAAAAGTTGATCATTTAATTGATAACTGTACAGCCATTGCTTAAAGTGTTATTCTGTAAAGCTGCGACGGAGTTCATGGCTGCTGAATTCTGCAAATGAGGCCTATGTAATGATGGCCAATACCGAAGTGTAAAGCAAACATAAGTAGGGTTGCAACAATTTTAAATTACATTCCTAAAATATGGCTTTCCATCAACAGTGTGCATTGTAGGGTGCAAATGTCAGGTGGAAACAAAAAAGAGAGACAAATCAGTCTCCTCAAAGAGGTAATGAGAAAAGTCAGTTGAGGAAAAAAAGTTATAGAAAACAGCAAATCGCCCCCCCCCCATGTTAAATTAAGACAGTCAGTGTTGCAACCACAAACAAATGAGATATATTAAATGTGAGGAAAATTGATGCAAGTCACTCCATGAAAGCACTGACAAAAAAGTCTTCCTTATAGTAATGTGATATTCTCTGTAAAAAAAAAAAAAAAAAATTATAAATATGTATGCATATATTCACTGTGTCAAATAACTGCTGCTGAATGTGTGCATCACACCAGAAAGGATTGGACACTCAAAGACCAGTGATATAGCATCATTGATGAGAACAGCAGTAATAGCAATTGAACTTATCAAATATACACAGACCATCAACTTTGTCACTTCTTCAGTCATTTTCAAACTCATCTTGTCAAACTTGTCTTGAGGTCAAGGGAAAACAAAGAGGTTATTAACAGGGACATTATAAGTGTTGAACTTGGTAGGTGCTTAGTGAGCATAAATTTGTTTAACAATTCTAGCTTTCTGTGATCACACCAAACTAATTTGGGTTGATTATTAGCTGTTTGATTGTGTGACTGCAGAGATGACAGACATACAGTTTACAGAGTGGTAACAGACTAGTATAACAATCAGTAAAACATCAGAACTCTGATGATGTGCTAACACTGCAGTGACAAATATCCTCTTTGTTGTTACATTTTTACAATGTATCTCAATGCGTCTTGATGAACTGTATTTTCAAGTCAACTTGTAAATGAGCACAGGAGACAGCACACATTCCATGATCAGACAAACACAGGAGACATGAGGCTTTGACACCAACACTCAGCCTGCACCTCTCACTATGTGGATACACTACATCAGTGTAGGACAGAGAGCAGCATTATGGCAACAATTCCTGTACAAGAGGAAGGACTGCTGCTATTGTGCTGACCCTTTTTTTTTTCTTTTTTTTTTACTCCCAGACGTGTTGAGAGGTGCAGAAGTGTTTTTGAATGAAGCCATGTGAGCACAAGGGGGCTCGAGGGAGAAAGCATGAAATTAGCAAAGAAACAAAACAGAGGAAGGGGCCAAAAAAACTGGAGTATTTAAATAAACCATTTTAAAAACAATCATAATTGGCTCAAATCTCTTCACCCCCCTGATATCATCTGTGGGTGCTGCTGCTGCAAATGGTAAATTGCCACATCTATCTAGTAGAAAAATACAGCGCAAAAAATAGAGGCATTAAATGTTAATGTAATATGGAAATGGCAGCAGCTGTGTAGGTAAATGAAAACAATTTCTCTGAAAACAGGCTGAACATACAGCTGAACAGCGCAATGAATTAAAACAGCGCAATTTAAGTGATTAATAGTGACCAAATAAAATACCTCCCCCCCCAGTTGAATTGAAACTCTGGATTTTATTCAAGTCAGTACATGTTGAAGCCTAGCAAGAGTGTGGTTCAAACTGATATGCCTCCCCCCACCCACCATCCTCTACTGAGTATCTTCATGACCAAAGTCTAACTTGAAGCGCGCACAGGCAGACATTTATGTTAGAAATAAAAATACATATTATCTTCACCCTCCTCTTCTGCGTGGTGGTTTCAAAAGGAGGACAGAAAGGTGCGACAGATACTGCAGAGAAATTCTTCTGGAGCTAAAGCTTATCCAAGGCCTCATTCACAGTAAAGACGGGGTGCATGAGTGACCATCATTGTCCTCATTAACAGAAACAAGAGCTTGAAGAGAAAAAGCTGTATCATCTCAGTATTTTTATATTTACAAGCTTAGAAATATACAGTGGGGAGGGATAGAAAGGTGAAAAAGGTTGAGCAAGAGAAGAATATTATTTACAGCAGGTACTCAAGAAATATGATGTTAAATGTTAACCTCAGCTGCAACACAAATCTCAGCACTTCAAATGAGATATACCTTCTTAAGAGCACACAGCACACAACACACACACACACACACACACACACACACACACACACACACACTCATGGAAGAAGAGATTACTTTAGGACCTACTTTCATCACTTCAGTTAAATATTTTCAAAGCAATAGTTTGACATTTTGGGAAATTTGGTTATTCTTAGTAGACATAACTGTCTCGTAAATATGAAGCTGGTGATAGGAGACAATTAGCTTAGCATAAAGACTGTAAACGGGCGAACGGCTAGCCTGGCGCTGACTGAAGGTAACAACATCAATCCACCTTCTGTGGCTGGGAACGGTGACTTCCTGGAGTCCTGATGTTGCTGTGAGGTTTGTCAGGCAACCAGCAGAGACTCAATGAAGTCACTGCACCCAGACACAAAACTATCCCCCATAAAACCACTACTTGTAGCTAGCTGTTTCCCCCATTTACAGTCTTTATGCTAAGCTATGTTATTTGGCTGCTGGTTGTAGCTTTATATTTAGCAAACAGAGAATGATCTCTCAGCAAGAAAACAAAACATGCTTATTTCCCAAAATATCAAACTATTGCTTTTTGTCTCTTTTCCTATGTATCCCATGAGACCCATGCCTTTCCGTTTCACTCTCCTGGTCTCCCTCTCTTGGGTAGAGTAACTGAACAATCACACAGCTAGGCAAAATCTAAATAAAAGTATAGTTTCATTTCTGCTTGAACTATTTTTCCTTCCTATGGTTATGTCACTCTTGAACCAGACCTAGTGAAACTTTTTTTCTACGTGTATGGAGAAATGGAAAAAGGGACAGATTGAGGGTTGTTACAAAACACTATGCACTATGCAACTGATAACCTCTTTGCTATACTGTACAGTGTTAGATGACTGGCTGGCTACCTACCGAAAGCATGAAGATTTAATCAGCTATTTACACACGACTCAAGGTAGTTTAATTCAAGCTAATTAACAGAGTAAAGATATCTGGGCTCATACCAGTGGGGCTAACACACACACTGCGATGCTAGATGTGTGGCTTGCACTTCTCATTCAGCTTGTCATAGATGACCACTTCAGTAGCGTGGGGGGAGGAAGGGTCTCTTCTGCCCATGATGGAATGGACCACCTGTGAATGGAGGACCGGGCCGCTTGCCCCCACGAAACCCGCCCATGGGTGGATCTTGATTTAGCTGCTGAGAGGGGGTTCGGCCTCGCAGAAGAGGTCTCTGTGAGATGGGGACCGAGAGGATTGGGGGCCGAGAGGTGGGCAAGTTGAGGAGGGGAACGGGGTTAGAGGTTTGGGTGCGGGGTTGAGCTGGAGGACTAGTGGGGGCTTTCTGGAGGGGAGGGGCAGCGGATTGAGCCGAAAGGCGAGTGGGTGCAGTGTCGACTGCAGGGGAATTAGGCGTGGAGGGAGAGGTTGTGGAGGATGTGGGAGAGGGAGAGGGGGATGGAAGAGGTAGATTTAAAGGCTCCTTCACTCTGCCCAGTAAAGGTGGAGGGACACCAGGGGTACCTGGGCGGTGGAGAGGGGGTGCATGACGTGGTACAAAAGCCTCTTTAACTGTGCCAGGACGGGGCAGCTGAGGGGGCTCGCCTAGCAACGATGTCATGAGGGGTGGAGGGGCCACTTTGTTTCCTCTGGGCCCTACTCCACCTCGCTCTCCACCTTCAGGTCTAATTGGGGGAGGAAGAGATAGAGGACGGTCAACAGGGACTAACACTCCTCCCACCATGACTGCAGAGGGCACGACAGGGTGGTTAGGTGGAGGGGAAGGGCGCTGTGGTATGGGGGGCGGAGGGGGGCGGGGCATTGGTGGAGGACCACTGAAGAAAGGAGATGTAGGAGGAGGATGCTGGTGGAGTAGTGATGGAGGAGGGGTCTGGATATTCTCTGTGTGGTAGGGCATTTGGAACTGAGCTTGGGGAGGGGGATGTGAATGAGGGTGGGACGGAGGAGGGTGGAGATGAGGGAGGAGGAGTTGTGGGTGAGGAGGAGGCATGGAGGGGGTCATGTCCTCAGTGCCGCCCTGGCCAATGTTAAGAGGAGGGGGGACAGTATGGGGTGAGGGAGGCTGAGCTTCCATGTATTCCTCCTCTTCATACCACATCACTCCGCCTGGCCGGCCGCCAGCACCTCCCCCTCGCCGAGAGCCTCGGCCAATCACGCGGATGCTCTCCACCGTCTTGATACGCTCTCCGGTGAGAGGCCGGTTCGAGTAGCCTAGAGTTTGAATGGGTGCCCCTTCGGTGCAGGGCGACACTAGAGTCTCAATACGATGGTACTGACCCTCCTTCCCATCCCCACCTGGAGACTCTTGACCTCTCCCCTTATCCTCCCTTTTTCCGCTCAGCCCGCCGTCATCTGAGCCAGTGCTTGCTTTACGAGAGCTTGCCGAGAGTCTCCTCTCTCCCATCGCTCTGTTGATGCCCATCATCCTTAACTGACTGTGATGTCCATCTTTCTTACCCTTCATGTCATTACTGGGGGAGGAGGAGACCTGCCTCCTTACATTCATTGCTTCATCTTCCTTTAATTTTGCGCTGTTCTTCTTCCCAGCTCCATATCGTGAAGATGAGGACCCCAGAAAGTCTCCATCGTTGTTACTTCCTGATGGGGTGATCACCGCGTCCCAGGGTTCGCTGCGGTAGGCTGTGGGTGAGAGGTTATGACCTCCAGAAGACCCTAGAGATTCTGGCACACTCCCAGGTGTGTCCATCATCTCATCCTGGGTCGGCGTGCCAGCAGCCTCATCTCTCACTGGGGTCCCATCCACCCCGTCAGGACTTACATCACCTAGAGCAAGACTAAAACCTGGATTACCCTGCAAGAAACTGTTGATTTTTGATTCTAGGCTGGGGGGAGAGACAGAAGGAGCTGAGGAACGAGGAGGGGGTGGGGGAGGAGGGGACAGCTGTAACTCTTTCTCCCAGTCTCTGGTTCTCCCGGGCATGTCTCGTTTGAGGTTGTTCCCCAGACTGGGTTTTGTTTTTGGCGTGGTTGGGGTGAGTGGGGTTTTCACTGTGGATGATTCTGGGGAGGTTCGGGTGGGAGGAGCGGAGGCAGTGTTTGTCACACTTTGCAGGAGAGAGGACAAACCTGCACCAAGATAGAAACAAATGGGGGCAGAGAAAAAGAGATAATAATATAATAGACAAATAATATCCTTGTATATCATAAACACTGCACATAATATTGAATAAATGCCACTTGCAATTAAAAATACAAGCAATGTTTGTGTGTCTTACCTGGTGTGTTTGTTTTAGACAGGGCATTGAGTATGCCTTCAGGTGTGATGTCAACACGTGACAGGATGCTGGCCAGGGCAGGGCTTGGAGGGGTTGCTTTAGAGGCTGTCGATTGGGCAGAGGGGGTGGTGGGAGTCCCAGGCGATGGCCGAGGTGATGGACTAGCTGCTGAGAGGCAGGAAAGGATAGAGAGATGGGAAGATCAAAGCCATAGCATAAATCTCAGAAATGACTCAAGCGCATTAAATTGATCCAAAGCTCTCAACTTGAATTCTGCACTGGTTACATCATGCAGTGCAGGTGTGGATTTTTTTCAGGTCAGGGAAAAATGTATTTTTATAAAAGCCGGTCTGGACAGAATTCTCACATTTAACATTATTTAAAAAGGTTATGTAAATATATTTGAATCCTGTTTAATAAATAATTACAATCATTTGCGCAGTTTAACAATGTATCATATATCATCATGTATCACAACATTTCAAACCCCTTGATGCTAAAGAAAGGACAAAAAAACTTAAGTTAAGTTTTCAACAAGATAACACATACCTCTGGCAATGGCTCAGTATGTATTTGTCAGACATGACCATGTATTTAATTGTGCCTCAAAATGACTGACGGTCTTAGGGAAATTCTTAAATGCATTACTCCAACAGGCCTTGATCATTAGTGCACCATCTTCTCCCAACCCCAAACATACCTGTATTCTTCATGGCCGATGTGAGGGAGCTGAGAATGGAGCTGATCTTTCCCAAGTCCACCTTTGCCAGGTTGACTCCTAGCGGGGTGGTTGGAGTACTTTGAGCAGTAGCAGAGGTGGGAGTTCCTGGAGTGGCTGTGGCAGCAGTGGTAGCATTTGTCTTGGAAGCTTTCGTAGGAGTAGTTGGAAGCTTTGACGATGCATCTGACTTTGTAGCCTTGGAAACAGCAGCGGAGGCCTTGTCTTTCTTCTCATCTGCTAGTGAAAATAATTCAAAGAGCTTATACATTTTCAAATCTGAATCACAACCCTACAACTGGGCAGCCTGATATGGCTCTATATGAAGAAGAAAATGTTCAACACAGTGCAACCATAGATCTACAACACTCTGTAGCCACTAACCCCCTGCTGCGTCAGCTTCTTCATCAGACATATCCATGTCTTCCATGTCTCTGTTGTCACTTGGTATTTCTCCATCATCCATGGCCTTGCCATCCAGCTCTGGATCCACCTGGGCTCTGCTAGCTCCCAGTCCCAGGAAGGGTGAATCAGAGCCAGTCGGGGAGGGGGCATCTTCGGAGGGCGAGGGAATGGGGGAGTCCTCAGGTCCAGGAAGAGTCGACTTGAGGGAATCCAATTTCCTTTTAAGACTGGCCACACGGCTGGCAAAGGCATTGTATGCCTGGGCAGAAAGAAAGTAGGGGACACAGAATTAAATGGGAAAATAAAAAGGTGTTCAAATTAACTTGCATCTATTGTAACGTTTATTTGTTTTCTAGGATAAATTCACAGTCATCCTTAAAAGGAAAGGTATTGTTACAATAAATGTCTAGGGTCATCATACTGTTTATGAGTTTTCTTTTGAAAGAGAGAAACAATGACATTTCAAGTTTTCAAGTACCAAATAACTGTCTACTAAACCATTTTCAATTCCTCTCCTCAAAAACAAATTCTATAGATCTTTATGTCTTTAGATTTTCACAATGAGCCCTGTAAGCACTACCAGGGAAAGTGGCGAAGCAATAATTGGATCCAATACTCACATTGGCCACAATCTTAACCTCCTTGTACTGCATCTCGTAGAAAATGTCTGCGTTTCCCAAAGCTTCCAGCAGAGGAGGCCCTGTTTTCAACTCTTTCTCCAGGAAGCTGACAAACTCCTGCAGCTTCAAACTGCCATCCTCAAAGTCCTTAGCAAACTTGTTGCCTCCTGCCTTGTCTGGAGGATGAGACAATTGACAAACAAGCAAAAAAGTCAAATACAAGGTTTCTTCTGTACAAAGAAGAAAATTGCCTTATGTCTTCTAAAAATTATTCTATTCATAATATAGTTCCCTTTAACTTCTGTAACTTCACAACTATGTAAAATAAAGAAGTAATGTCCACTTCTTATGGATAATCGATATTTTTTGGATATTATTGGACCTAAATGTGAATTTATCTGTCGAGTAAAACTAACCCAAAACATTCACGTGATATTTAAAGACAAGTCAGTGTTCCCATGGTTTACAGCAGAACTTATATACTGAATCAACAGCACCAGTTAAAGAAACCCACCTTATTCAGGGTAATCCTAGACATTACTGTGAACCATTTTCATTTGAACAACTTTCTACTTAAAAATTTACAGAAATATTACATGGACCTCTCTAATGTACCTGCATTTACATCTCCATGAACCTACATCTACCCTCCATGAAGAAGGTACAGATAAAGTAGTATTAGAGTAGTCGAGTATGTTTGGGGTTTAAGACATAAAGTGCACAGGGTAATAAAGGTGTGATGATGCAGAAATAAGCTGTGACATCTGACCTTTAAGTCTCTTGAGGGCCTCTGTGCTGCAGACATCCACTCTGAGAGCCGCCAGCTGCTTCTCTCTGAACTCTTCTTCTGCAACTGCTCTCTTATACTTCGACAACTGTTCAATGAGGGAGTGAGGCTAGAAAAGAAACAGAGTACAAATCAAAATGTAAATCACTGACGGCACTGTCTCAGACATGTTTACATCATAAGTCTTGCAAGACAAAGCTAACACAACACAAACGACTTACTGTGAACTCCGCTACGATCTTGGACTTGAGGGCAGCTTTGGTGTTCGTTGGGGCTAGAGAATAAAAGTCAAATATAAACTTAACACATACACTTACTACTGAATCTGGAAATAATTTGTAATCTATTATTAGTTGGCTAAAACTTATTGCACTTTTAGATTTGATTAACACGAGTTACACACTGACCAATTGCAGGTGGAGTCTCCTTTTCTTTCTCCTTTTCTTTTTCCTTGTGCTTCTCTCGCTCCTTTTCCTTTTTGTTGAAGCTGGCTTTGAACTGGGCGATGACCTCCTCGGGATAAACACTCCTCTCCTCCCAAATTGAAAAGATCCTCTCCACTGACTTGCGTACCTTTCCATCTCTGACATTGAAAAATGACAACACAAGATGACACATTTCTTTTTTAAAACCAGTAATAGCCATATATATTGAAACAAGAAACACATCTACTACTACCCCAGTACTACAGGTGAACACCAACACTGAGTACCCACTTGATGAGCAGGATAGCATTAGGAAGGACCTCTGCGAAGGCTGAACGAAAGACAATGGCGTTCTTTCTTTTGCAGTTTTGAATCACATCATTGGCAAGGTAAAAGAGATTCAAGCGATGATTATTGTCAGCTGAAAAAAAGGAGACAAAGAACACAGCATAAGATTAAGGGTGTAAAGGTGTACTGTGGTGTCCTGATACTGGAGTGGTTAAGACACATACACACAACTGTCTACCTCTGAACTATCTGTTATTAAGTAAGTGCAAAAATTAGTACATGAAAGAGTATGCATTACTCCAAAGGGCACAAAATGTAAAACATGATTCAGGGCTAGAGGCAGAATGATAAATGGATATTGGTCGACAGTGACTTATCACAGACATATTGAATCAATGTAAAATGTTATAAGCAACAAGAAATTTCTGTACAAACAAAGTTTATAACATAGTTCACCCATTAGAGAGCACTGACAAATTCATTTTTCAACAGAAAGTTGTTCTACTTAGTGTGCATCTTAGTCTCAATTCTTAAAAAATGATTATGAAATGAATTTTTTTTTTTTTAAATCTGCTAATGTATTGCTTTTTGAAAATTTGAAAAAATTAATACCACAACATATTCTGACAACTGGGGTCTATACTCACTCCAACATGCATTTTTACAAGACTCACAAAAGGACATTTTCAAAAGATTTTGCACCATCATGTGATCAGCTGTGATATGCCACTTTGCAAACTTGCCAAGTAATCATGAAATCATCAAATGCTTTGTGTATAATTGCCTTAAGTTATACATTCTGTATTATGTTGTGTTTATCCAGTGTACGTCAAAATCAGCCTATAATAACGGTCTTTGCCTTTGTGTGAATTGGGTTTCATCCAAAAGCCTTTATGGCATTCAGATTACCTAAACCTAGAAACAGCTATGATTAAACAGGAGGCTGAAGACTGTGCCTGCTTTACTGCTTTAGTTCAGTCATAGGTCTGGAAATATGTCTCTATGATCACCTAACTTTAGTATTAAACCATCATCCATTCATTCATTTCCAAAAGAAATACAATATTGGCAAGGACACAAACATTTCTACTGCTTCCTAAAATAGATTTAGTAGCCTGATTTTTACCAGGCAGGATTAAATTACAGCCAGTTAACACAAACTTTAGCCAATATTCTCTGCATTTCAGGAAGAAAATTATGCCTTTAAATTCCTCTACTATGTCACATTTTGTCAAATTTCAGATGCGACCACCCTGGTTGGTCTAATATTTCTGTACCATTAGTAAATCACTTCAATAGTTTGATCGAATAGTAAACAAAAGAGGAGACAAAGTGCTACAAGTAAGGAAAATATTCAAACAACTGCAATTACAACCTGGAGTCACACAACATGGGCTTGTCACAGATAAGGTATGTCATATAAGCATTAGAAGAGCTTTTTTTTTTTTTTTTTTTTTTTAAAGAGAAATCCGATTCATTGAGAGATTCTTACTGTAAAATGTATGAGTTCTTTTACTTCTAAATATCAGTAATAATGTTAACCCCAAAATGTATCAGGATTTTAAAGTAAACACAACCTATACCATTGCTTTAAACACACAATAATGAGGGTTCACTAGAAGCCTGGCTGACATTAAAGCATTAAAAAATTTTTTTTTTATCAAAAATCGATTTACAATAATAGCTGAAATGAAAATAATGTGGAACGTGTATCTACATGGCATTGTGCAACAAATGAGAATGCATAGACAAACACACAACAGTTATGACCACCAAAACACAGGAGCAATTACAATCTCCATTGAGATGTGTCTGAAACCAAAAGAACATACCTGCATCCTCATCTCAAACACTTAGATAAAAGTTGCTTGAACAGCAAGGAGCCACACAAGAAACACAGTCAACAGAGAAGTTTCAAATATCCACAAAGTCTACACCAGCAAAGTATAACTGAATATGTCAAATATGACATCTCATTTGTGTATCGGTGTGCTTTTAAAACATTACAAAACTATCTGCTTGTTGCTCATTTCCCCCCTGGCACAATACAATTTGGAAAAAGTCAAAAAATCAGTTTCTGTGATTTGTATTGTACAAATGTCAAATGTCATGGCAAAAGTACTGCCTTTGGACAGCCTTTATAAATCTAAATTAGACCTGGATAACAGACTGTTAAATTATGTTTGATGTATGTTTCCCTTCAGCACTCTAAAAAGAAACAAAGAATATTCAGTCAACTGAACACCTTCTGAGTTGAAATAATAAGAGTCAAGTAAAATTTCTGATATAGGGCATGCAGCAATAAAATTAACAAATTATGAACTTCTTCTCAAATCCAAAATAATATCTTCTATTACTCTATCTTACTATTACTAGAATATTTTTTGTTCCCTTATGATGTATGCACCTAATTTTATTATTTAGGATCAGTCACAACCACAAAGACATTACATGGATTATCTGATAACCAGCATTAATTTGAATAGTAATTTAACTGTAAATTTGTGTGTGTCAGTTCTGTCAGAAATGTTCTAAAACACAACACTGAAGTCCTCCTGTACGACACACATGAAACTATGCTGTACCTTAAAGGGTAGGTTCTGAATTTTTATCATCCTCTCTAAAAGTAAAAAATCTCCACACTAGTAACATCACTTATCTTAAATGGGAATTAGCTTATTATTCCATTATTTTAACATTGTAGTACTTCAAAGTATCAAACAAGCACATTTACCAAACACTAATACTGATACGACAGCTAAGACTGGTGCACAAACACAACTAATGCTACAAATATCCCAAAAATGGGATGTTGGCTCTGAGGCATGAAGGCATACTGCCAGGTATTTAGATCATTTCAGGCACTCCTCCTCACATGACAAGCTTTTCTTTCCTCAACTGCATTGAAATAAAATAGAAGATGAAATAACATGCTAAAATAAATGCAAACTAATGTTTACCTGCAAGGTAGGGAAACAGAAAAATGTGCTTCGGAAACTGGCTGACACAGATAGTCCTTAGACAAAATGCATCAGCTTCATACCCTTTGAGACATATATAGGTCATTTTCTGACACAAGACCAAACATTTCATAGTCTAGAACCAGCAATAAATGATGATCGGTAGATTGCCTCTTGGCACTGCTCTCCATCAGACAACAGTGGCTCAGCCAGTGCACAGCAGTTCATTGTGTGTTGTCAGCATAAACTTTTACCGTGCATTCCTCTGTTGGCACGGATGCAGCGGGGTATTATTAAAAAATAGCCAAATAATGATTTGAGCCGCGCTGACGATTCAACTGGGAACTCCCTAATGGATAATTCAAATCTAATAATTCTAGGGCTGAGGCCTAGAAAAGATCTTGTCAATATGCGTTTGCTGGTGTTGTTCCTGCAAGCAAGACACTGTACTTGAAATTGCACATTTAAGAAACAAAGATTTCTCTCTAGTGAAGATTTCAAAATGTCTATAACTTCTTTGGCTTTCACCATTTGTAGTGATGTCTTTTAACACTTATAAGTTACACATTTAACTTTAAATCAACATTTCCATACAGAAATATTGACTGTTCCTAGCATAATTATCTTAATGTAGTTTTCATGTACTTTTTCTTATAGGATGTTGTGATATTTTTAAATATACACACATTGTGTTGGCTTCCATACATAATGAAAGCAAATGCAGTCCAATAATCTGTTAAACCCCCTTCATAAAGTTTAACAACACATATCAGAGTTGGTATTAAGCACAATTACAGGCCCTCAATCCTCATACAAACTAAACAAAGTTTGACAGCTGGCGATTCTTTTCAAACAAAGATGGGAGCTAAACTTTTCTATCTACCACCACAATGATGAGTTATTAGAAAAATACTTTTTTATGACTGTCCAATAATTCATGGCATACACAGCGAATATCTCTTTATCTTCCACAAAAATATATAGATGATTTTAAAAAAGCATATGTTCAAAATCATCAACTGGCAGACAAAATTTTACAACTGGTTTGTGATGCTTCTAGCTTCACTCTCTACTTATTAACAACATAAAAAGTCATTAGCAACGCCCATTATATTCCATCCTCTATTAATCAATATCAGTGGCCAAAGAACAAAATATATCAGTGGGAACCTCTATTGCTTTCTCTATTCTGCCAACATTCAGCTAAGAACCAGATGAAATTGGTGTAAACCTACTCAACTATTCATCACTCCTGGTTTTAAAAAACAATCAGCTAAAAACAATAACTCTTCTACAAATTTTTAGAAACTCTAAGACACCATGCACATTTCTGTAAAGCTATGCTATAAGACAGCTAGATGCATCCTGTATGGGATATCAACAGTTGTACAAAATACCAACCAACTCACACTAGTAAGGAAGATCAGTCATCACATTACTACAACATACTGCACATAAACTCAAACCCTGCAGTAATTTTAAGTTTGACTTTTGTCAAATATTAAAAACAAGCAAGCATTGAAGTTCATTCTTGAGCTTTGAGAAAACACGTTGACAGGTACATTCTTAATACAATATCCAGATGCTAGCTTTTCCCAGAGCTTCCAACTACATGTATCAATCTTCATCACTAAATGGATTTTGTTCTTTTGAGATGTTTGTCAAACCAGTGAAAACAATGACGGAAAAAGCCCACGGAATTGCTCATTTAAATAATGAAGCTGCAGGACACCTCTGATTGCTAATTGCAGTATTTCAAGTGCTGCATGCAGGACTCACAAAACTTCATTGACAGTAGCTGGGAGTCACTTCCAAAGTGTTGTGTTTTAATTAGAGCTGTGACGATCAGTATATTAATCGATTAGTCTGCAGTAATTAATCTGCAGCTACTTTAATAATCAAATTATCGTTTTTAGCAATTATTTTAAGGAAAAATGGCAAAGACAAACTTTCTCTGGTTCCAGCTTCTCAAATGTGGTGATTTGATGCATACAATTGTAAACTGAATATCTTTGGGTTCTGGACTGTTTGTTGGACCAAACAAGCCATCCAAAGACATAGCTTTAGATTCTGTGAAACTTCAATGGGCTTTTTTTTCCTTTTTTTTTTTTTTTTTACTATATTCTGTCATTATTTAGACCTAAACAAATAATCAAGACAACAATTGGCATGTTAATAAAAATAAAAAAAACAATTGTTAGTTGCATCCCTATTTGTAATGTCTACATAATTTCTTGGTTCAAATGCAAAAGTTTTTCAGACACAACTGCAATACAGTAAATAATTGATGCTTTAAAGTACCGTTTCACTTAGGATTTGGTGCAAATGGCACTAGATTTGGCAATATCAGCAGTAACAAAATCACTTGACTGATACTAGAATGCTTTTAAAAGCAGGTATCAACCACAACTGGTAGTATAAAATTATACTGTTAGCAGATCTCAACTGCATAACTGGGAATTCCAACATTCAGCAACATAATAAAGACGACTCTGAACAGATTAGTGAAAGAATGCAGAAGACCCCATGATATAGAAATGAGGTCAAACACTTATCAGACTTCAGTGACACTAGTCTGCAAAGACTATTAGGCGTGACTCTGTAGTCCTACTTTACCAATAATGGATATATATCCAAAATGTTTTCTTTGTTTTAACTTTGATATAACCAACCTAAATCACCTATCACGTTTAAATTACTTGAATACCTTTTACAACAAGATACCACGGTGACAGTAAGATTACATTAACTTATGAAGTTAAACTGCTTCCATTTTTACCAGTGGTCAAAGTACTCCGATCTTTTGTTTACATAAATGTAGCAATACCACAATGTAGAAATACTCATATTGAAATCCTGCTAGCAAAATTTAACTTCTGTAAAAGTAGTAGTAGTTAATAATTACTGTGTACGTCACCTCAGTGTTGCTACTGCTAAAGATGGGGTTCATAAGTAATGCATTATGATGCATTTGATGAACATGTTTTATATTATATTTATATTAATTTGAATCTGCAGTTAACCAAAATAAAATAAAGGTAGGGGAGTAAAAAGTACAATACTTGTTTATGAACTATAGTTGAGTTATAGTATAAAATGTTACTCTAATGCAAATGAAGTATAAGTATATCAAAACTGAAATTAAATAAAATACTTCAGTAAATGTACTTTTAAAAAGTGTTATATTTTCATGGCTGCTGTAAGGTGCATCAGCAAATTACAATGTGACACCAAACGGTGGCTCAGTTGTAACTCGTGGTGTTCTCCATAGTCATCCTGTTTTTTGTTTTATTTTGTTTTTAAACGTAGCATTGGCTCTTAAAATCTGCTTTGGGTAGATTCTCCCTTCTTCTCTGCTTTTATAAAAGTAGCCAATTCATCAAGAAATGAATCCTGCATGTCAGACCACAACATAACTTGCACACGGATCAAACTGCAGAGCACCGATTAAAACTGACATGTAACTAGATGTAACAGAACACGTTGTAACCACCTTTATCTCATGAGTTCATAATTTGAGATAAGCAGTGCATGGTAATTCTTCGTGAAAAAGCAGAATCATGTCCTTCCAGAGTGTGAACCCCGGGAGGCCCAACGGTAAACAGTGCTAGCAGGGAGGCGTTAGCTTAGCTAATATTAGCGGCTAATTGTAAGCAGTGATAACAACGTCAATGTTGCCTTAAAAAGATGCAGTCGATTTAAGATTAAAATTCCCGTTGGGAATGAATCACCATCGTTTTCTGGTGCACTCATTCGCCCTGCACTTGACCAAAACCTACTACTAGAAGCTACAGCAGAGTTTTGCAAGCTGATAAGATGATCATGGGTTTGAATTAGCTAAAGTGAGCTAGCTAGCAGGTTAGCTTCAGCGGCAAGCTAGCTACTCACATTTCTTGAGCCACTTCATCCAATAACGAACGATGAGGCCGTGGTGCTTCTTGTTTTCAATGCACCAGGTCGAAAGTCCCTGTATTGACTCCATAGTGTTGGATACTCCCTGAAACCGCCGGTCCAAAGACGCTTCCAGAGCAGCGGTAGAGCTGCGGGCTCCGTGGCCGCTTGCAGCCCCAGAACCGGCCGCCATCTTTCCAGCTCTGTCTGTTGATCGCTCGCTGCGGACGAGGATGAAGGAGCTAATGTAATGAGAAAACACGCCCCCATGTTTTACTTTGCCATTAACACACAACTGTATTAACAAAAACAAGCTACAGTCCTAAAACAATACGGGATAAAATAGCGTTTGAGTTAATGTCTGACGTTAGAACAAGTTAAATACCAGCGAGGTCCAACCTAGTTAACGTAAAAAAACGGACACAAGGTGTTTAAATTTTGTTGTTTATTTAAGGCTGTGACTGTAATATTACAGAGAAATACAGCTAGAAGTGAGTCAAAGATTTGTTCTCTTTCTCCAAACAGAAAAGAAAAAATACACGTGGGAGCTTCAAATTCTGTTTAATGTACCTGTAATAATCATGTCTTAAAACAACGTTGTAACATTAGCCACGTGTCTTTCTAGGTTTACTCCATAGACTGTTTATAAAAAGGTGTACTCTAAATGTGTTAGCACAATAGCAGTGCAGTCTTTACTGATGGGGTGGTGTTTATTAACTGCTTGACTCACACAGGGGTTATTATCAGTGTACATGGGGACTTTATCACAAAACTTCAGTCACAACATAATCTGACAGTTTCTCATCACATAAAGCCTTGGGTAAGTGATTTGCATACTGTAATCTATCCAATAATAGATAACAATATCTGACAGAAGAGCCTACCACCAAAGAGATTAACACTGATGCAGGCATACAACACATACTGTCCTACACACACTCCGATCTGTCACACATTCCCACAAAGATATCCACACAGTTTATTGTTCCTCCTTTTCTATGTTCAAGTCTCTCAATTAAGTTTGTCTGTCCCAAATTGAAGGCAGCCAGCTAGCAGCGATGGTCTGCTGGCTGTTAGGCTGTTGGTCTGGGGGCTTGTAGGAGAAGTGGGCTAGGTGGGTGGTCTGGCGCTGACTGAAACTACGTGCTCCCCCAGGCAGATTTCAGTCATCTGTGGTGTCCAGCACACTCTGGCTGAGAGCTAGGTCCCAATAGTGTTCTGTGCCATGCTTCTTGAAGTGTTCTCTGGCCATGCTCTCTGTTGGGCACTGCTTGAACTTCATGTCCCCAAAACTACGCTCTTTAGCTGTTCCCTGAAGAATCAATAAGAATTATTAGACTTTAATAAGATCACAAACAAAACAAATACAATCCAAATTAATTCTTAAATATTTAAGAAAGCAGAATATATGAACACCCACCTCCCAAATCAACCAACACTTGTTGTTTCTCTTTGTATCGTCATCACCATCTGGATCTAAAAGAGAATGAATGGTAAAGAGTTTAGTTATCCTGAAATAAGCAAAAACACATGATAACTGTGGCCAAAGACTCAAGAGACAAGCCACTCTTACCATCCCTTTTACTGTTGTGTTCCTCCCATTTGATTCTGTGCAACATCAGCCTCTTGAACTTTTTCTGAGATTTGGGGCCTAAAACAAAATAAAAGTAATTCAGATACAAAATCAACCACCATAAGTTTGATTTTTCTACAACTTCAATTTCTCAAGGGGTACCTGATAAAGTTAAATAGAATGGTAAATGGAGATGTTACAATCCTCCATAGCCATAAATAAATGCATCTATAAAATCTTTGAACAATGCCTACAAGCATTTGGTCTTCCATGTTGTTGTCAGCTGTTTATTCAAATTCAAATCATTATTTCAACACTTTATATTTGTACATTGGGCTATCCTAAACATAATAATGTCACAGAGAAGCCTAAGAATTGTGAACTAGACGTTTTCTTTTTCCTGCATCCGAACACTTGCCAGATGTCCAGTCATTTCAGTTAGGTCATTTCCCTAATATTTTGTGTTCTGTTGCAATCCTATCCCTTGTGGGTTTCTGGACCTTCCATCCTCTATCACAACCACACAATGACAGTTGTTTGTTTAGTTTTGAAGACTACTAAGAATTTAACCAATGCAAGTCTATCAAAATAAATGGTTGTTCAAAGTTTGGAAGGAAAATTTTGGGGGATAAACCACACGGGAGACAACATCATAATATTGAAAAATTGGTGGAATAAACAAAGTGGTTTAGGGAAAAAAATGATTACTGAAAAGGATTGGTCAAGTAACTCACTAAGAAAATTTACTATAAAAAGTCTATTATCACATTTCCAAGAAATTATGAATATGAAATAAAAAATGAATGATTGGCACTGAATGTCAACACCAAAGATATTCCCTTGAAAGGAGCAAACATTATAAAGCGTATGTCAACTATGAGATAGTTGAGAGAGAAAAAATATTTAACTGCAAGAACCAAGAGGCTTGAAATGGCAAGAATGCTGATGCTACTGTAAGCCTGAGAATCCTTTTCCTGTACGCTGTTGTGTTCAGGTTTTTCACCCTTACCTCCCTCCACTACAACAAGGTTGACATCTTTGTGCAAAACGACTGTGCCCGTCAGGTACAGCTGGTTGGCATTAGCCTCCACTTTAAACTTCTTAGCAGGATTTTGCAGGTTACGGATCCTGTACAGGAAAGAAAAGGTGCTTAAATTAGACACATATACATTGCGAAACACAAACGCTGCACTACACATTTGCACTGCAGTGTTTGTTCTGTCCCTACAAATACACACCTGTACACTGCAATGTAAACACCATCAGTGATGTCTTCTTTTAACTTCTTGACCTTTTTCTCTTTCCTCTGCTCTGCTGTAAGTTTGCGAGCGGCGTTGGCCTCTTCATGAGCCCTGCAGGAAGGGAGACAGAATTAGAAAAACCTTAAGGGCTTTTATTTTACATGGATTATCGCACATAATGTTAAATGGGAAAATTCTGAATGATGCATGAAAAAAAGAAGATAATAAATAAGGGAAAAACAGTGTAGAGGATAATTGTGTTACTAACTTTTGTCTCTTGGCCATCTGTGCTCTGACATGGGCCTCTACTTTTGTTGGGTCTTGAACTGCCTCCGTCCCCAGCACTCTCATCAGATTGGAGATGCGTACTGAGAAAATGAAAACAATCATCAGCTACATTCTGTTTAATCTAGCACTGTAGTAATTTTTAAATTGTAGTAATTTATGAGTGGGTACCTTTGGGTTCTGGTGGAGGCATCAGTCCTAGGCGAACCTTCTCTTGCACTTCTTTTTGGCCCTCCCTTCGTGTCTGTCTTCTCAGTTTCTTCTGTTCTTTCTTTGTCAGGTATACACCCAGCGTGACCGGCTTATCTGTGTCAACTGAGAAAGAAAAACAAACAAAAAAAAAAAAAACACCCACAAAATATTGTAACCATTCCAGTAAATTATTATAGTAGTAATGGAATCAATACCATTAAGAGTTTGTAGGGCATGTCATGGCTATTTTGTTTCAGTCCCATTAGCAGCGACCAAGAAGGCAATCACAAGAAAACTGTATAAACAGGACGCCCCTACTCCGAGATGTTTTCTGGACATTGTTGAAAAGATACATACGGATATGGAAAGACTCATGGTCTGAGAATTCAACATTAAATTTAAAGAATATAGTGAAAAATAGACTGATAACAAACCCCATCTCAAAGACATTACTAAAACCTTTATACAGACAGAGAAATTGTAAGTTGCATACATCACTGACACCAACTTTTGTGTTTGTTCTGTAAGAATAGCATAAAAAGCAATAAAAATTTAAGTTTAAAAAAATGTGTGCAGACCACATTTAACCTCATAAATGCTTACCAGGAGGTTGGATTTGGGCAGGATGTTCTACCAGGTTGGTTACACCAAAGAGCTCCAACTTTTCAAATTTTGTGTCCTCAGTTCTACATAACATTAAGAGGAAAAACATGTCAATTGATTACAGTGTGATGAATAAGTACAAACTGCAATGTTATTTGTGCCATGAAGATTGTGCTTAGTATTCTAAAGAGAGACACTGAAAATGGGACAGTTTTAACATTTAAACCTTACATAATACTTAATGTTTAAGTTCCTGGGTTAGCGGTGGTTTCTTACATGTCTATGTTTGAGGGCAGGATGTAAGAGTCCCACCACTCAATGTTGGGCACCTCCCCTTCTCCAACCTCCTTCTTCGGAGCAATCAGGGCCAGTTTGGTGGATGCCTGGATTCCTGTCTTCTTTGCTGCCTGGGCAATCTCACACTGCAACCTTTCCAACTGGGCCTGATTGAGGTAAAGATCAGTGCAGGAGGGACAAAAGTCGAGTTATTGTGTGAACCACATTTCAACAGTTGGATATTTTCTATTCCAAAAACCAGGCATAGAGTTGACAATTGCTGACACTGAACATTTTAAGGAGTTAAATCCAACCTTAGTTCTAATCCTCTGTGCAATCTTTTCAAAGCGTCCCTGATCATGGAATTTGAAGCTTCTGCGAGGCCGTTGAGCTGGTGTTATAAACACACGCTGGTCAAAGTAGGACGTGGACTCCAACTCCTCCCCAGGCTTCTCCTTCAGCTGCTGACGGAACTGCTCCCTCTTAACCGCTCGAATGTTAGCTAAACATTGAAAGGAAAATTAATTGAGAAACACTCAAACAAGAAAATAAGATTGTGTATGTGGGTATTGGGCCACTGTATGAATACCTTTCAGTGTGGGCATGCGATGTGTGAGTTCAACCTCTTTGCCACTTGCATCCACAGTTCTTCCCTTCTCATCCAGAATAAGAGGTGTTGGCTTGTTCACCTCCTTGGCTTCAACTTTCCTATAAAAAGAGATGCACAGAGAATGCAGTCTATTTTCCCACTGCTACATCAACAAATAGACATTGCTATAATTTTTTTTCCTCTTTAGGTGTTAAAATCCTTTAAATACTGTGACATTACTCACGGTGGAGCAATTCCCATGGCATGTAGATTAGCTAGTGCCACTAGGTTGTGAGGCCCAGTGTTCCCCAAAGCTCCGAGGATACCAGGTTTCATGGCTAACTGAGACTGGATGCGCGCCTGTAGCTCAGCAGCCTTGCGGGCCTTCTCGATAGCATCATTCATGAAGCTGGCGGCCTGGGAGGGGGCGATGGATGAGGCACCACCAGCAGCTGCAGCAGTGGAGGTGCCAAGAAGCCTCGATACTGGAGAGGATTCCATTTGTGACTGTGGTGTAGGAAGGGGCAACCGCTAGTCAGGGAGAAATAAGGCCAGTATTATACTGAATATACTGCCTAAAAGTACCGATACTGTGTCTTATTGGGCAAAAAAAAAATCTTACTGGTGCAGCAGGGACTGAAGAGGCAAAACTCAGTTGTTTCTTCCTCTCTTCGATCTGTCTTGTGGCTGCCTCCATCATCTGTTTGATCTATCAATACAGAGAAAGTAAAAAGAAAATGTAGAACATTAATCATAAAAACAACTTATTCAGCTATAACCTGAATTATCACTGAGAAAACAGTATCATACCTGCATTTTTGTAAGCATGCCAGGGCTCTCAGATGGCGGTCCAGGTATGACCTCAGGCTCCTCCACCTCCTCGAAGCGAGGCACCCGTTTCCGCTTCGCCACTGTTCCATCTCCTGGCTCCTGAGTTTCTCGCATTGCACCTGTGTCAGCTTCATCACCAAACACATCCTGAGACCAACCAGTCAGAACAGAAGAATACCAACAAGATTTGATTATCATCAAGTATTGACATATTACCATTAAGCCAAACTTCATAGTGTTTGTGGTTGGTACACTTACATGATTATTTTTCTGCTTGTGTCAATAATCTGGTTTCAGAAACCTCTGCGTACACATTAAACCCAGTTTCCATTTCGTAGTCTCAGTCAAGGGGTGTTAGGAATATCCGAGTTAATAAAAATAAACGTATTCAGTGGCTAAAGGCAGGGTTCTGATGATTCACCTCCCTGTATAAACTGGGGTTTAAAGTAATCTGACTAATGTACCCTGTGTCTGATTTCTTGACTTTACGTGATCACTTTTGTCTGTCAGCATGTTCATGTAGTCAGTATAATTTCTAGTAAATAAATGGACTGGTTTTAGGTCTAATTATTTAGTTATAAAGGGATAACATAAAGTAAGAATGTCTCCTAGAGGGTTTGTGTACCTTCAAGTCTCTCTTGCGGTTCTTTTCTCCTGCTCCTTTGTTGCCACGGGCACTACGGCTTTCCTCCAGCGCTTCAAAAAGACGCTCCACAAAACCTCCAGCAGAGTCATCAAGGAAGGGACGCAGCTGGTCTGAGGGGGAAACAAATATCAAATAATTAGCACAAATCCACTACTACTACTCCTTTGATCACTGACATGATAAAATTACACGATCACAGAGTGCTTTTAAGTGCAGAGAAAAACATGATCATACAAAGATTAAGCTGATGTTTTAACTACAGCATTTACATGATTCCCACCAACCTGACTTCTGCAGTCATTTTAAAAGTCAGTGCCTGACAGTTGAGTCAGGAAGGATATGAAATACACCACAGCCAATCACCTTGGAAATGGGGAGCTTTGTTGGTGCTTATGGTTTTTCACTTAGGTTAATTTAAACAGCATGTGAAAGCAAGATCTATTACTTGTAGTGTTAAATGTCACTCAAAGAGCGTTTTTTATGCAAAAGAATGACAGCTTAAATCACACTGAAGGTGGTCAGATATTAGTATTCATTAGTCACCATATATAATGATATCGTGCTCACTAATGTGTCTCTGACTGATTTAGTTTATTCATTGGTTTGTCGATCGTCACAACCGTCTGATGCAACGTGCAAAGTGTATGCGGTCTTAACTGGATTTTGAAATAAAAATCAGTAGGTCTCAAACAGCCAGAACAGTTACCTATGGTCTTCCTTTTGTCCAGTCCCTTTCCAACACAGTGCAAAGCTGCAGTGACCACAGTGGGCTCTGAGAAACCAAGCACTTTCTTCACAGTGCGCTCCACCCATGGCCTTAACTCCTCCACCTCCCGCTTTGGAAGAGACATCTTCTGCTCAAGCAGAGCAAATTAACATTTACAACATGTAAAATCAACATTCATTAACACTATTTAACCAGGTTATCATGAACATGTCTCCATGAACTTTAGCCCTGTTTTGGACTATCTCGTCCCCTTGAAGTGAGAGTCCCAAACAGAGCTACATGCACACAAACCCCCTCTGTCACTCACCCATGCACACTTAGCTGGCGCAACAAAAACATAAACGTTCAGTTATTTACTCTTAAACCACGCGCACGCTCAGTCCAAACGTTTTATCAGCTGATAGCGGCAATGTTACACTGACTGGCAAATGTGCTAACCAGGAGCAACATACAAGCTAAAATCAATTACATCCGCCAAAACTCCCCGGCTGCCTGCTAACTCAGGTTAGCATGCTGCTGTCTGGAAGCTATCAACATTAGCGAGTAACTGTTTAGCGAAGCGTACAAACCTTTTTATTCTGCCTGTATCTTCTGCCAGATTACTTACGATGTAAAATTCACACACAAATCATCAAGTCTCAGACGCATAAAACACTCAAACTGCTAAGTATTCTGTAAAAGTTTCTGCTTAGTGGCGCCGTTCACACAACGTTTCGGATCCAAGACCCGGAACAGGAAACAGGCGATACTTCTTCTTCGTTCCTCCGTCGCCTTCTTCTTCTTCGTGATCATTTCAGTGCATTCGTTTCGATCAGATGTTCAGCGTTACCACCCAGCAGGGTCGGAAGGAAACTGTTACGTTTATTTCTCATGGTAACACTTTGAAAATTATGACGCAAAGTCGAAGTTTCAGAGAAATAAACTCTCTTTTAAAGGTTGTATTCGACCAAAATAAATTTGCCTTACAAAACGTATAAAAGAAGAGGTAAAACCGTGGCGTCATACGATTGTTTTCTTTTAACCAAGGTTAAATAGAGCCATAAAACCAGTACCAAAGTGTGTTATGTTTATGAGGTGTATTTTTAATCCATTGGGAAATCTTTCTTGCCTATATCACAAAGTTGATATGTAAAAAAGAATTTAAATTATAAAACAGAAAATGAACACATAAACTGCAGTACCTTGCCCACAATATTGGTTTGATTACAGTTACAGTTGCTTCCCCTAAGGTAATGGCTCAGGATTGAAAAACTACATAAAACTACAACCTATCCATAATCTCCCTTTATCACTACTCAGTCTAGAGTGAAACACTGCCCAGCTATTGCCTGACTAACCACAGAGCAGCAGTCACGAACCCAGTCCCCGGCTGAAAACATGGGATTATCAGGTGATCTCCGCTTCCTTCTCTGTAGGCCCACCCCCTCATTTTTTTTCTATGTTTGCATGATGTGGGTCAACTGAGTGCAGTTGTAGTAGTGTGAGCATGAATGCAGTAGTGAGCCTGAGGCTACACAAGTCTGCCAGATCACCCGTCCACGCTTTCACTCACATTGCTAATGTTGTGGAAACCATTGCTAATGTTGTGTATAAAGTGTATATACAAAGTATATTATAGTTTTCCAGACATGCTCTTTCTTCAGAGTTATAACAATCATCATCATGTCAGCCATTCATTACAGAAACATGCAGTTACTCCTACTGAGCAGCACACTCTCATCGTCAACCCCCTCACATGCTGATTCATCAAGGATACGTATTTCACAATTTACCTTCTGGCTTTCACTCACCCATCCGCTTATTCAGTCTGTTTACATCCATGTTTACATGCAGCCTGATTCATGTGAATAACCAGACTAAGCTTTTGCGTGGTTTGCAGAACTCCATTTTGGTATCAGGAAAGATATCTGGTAGCTCAAAGGAAACCTCTTATTAACACCGCAGAATAATAGAATGGAATTTGAGAAACTTTCATTGTATATATATTTTTTTGTCAGTGCTGAAATTTGAGCTTCCACTACCACCACAAGTGTCTTTGTGTATACAAACATAACCCTGGATCCAGTTCACTCTGTGGCCTTTCTGTTGTATGTGCAGAATCAAAACACCATAACCAACGAAAAGTAGAGAAAATAAGGCTGCAACTAACAGTTGTTTTGATTGATCTGGCCTTTTCTTTTCTCCCATTGTTCTTTTGATCAAGGGAAATGTTAGAAATTTGTGAAAAAAAATCACAATCATCACAATTCCCACAACCAAAACTGATGTCTAGAGCTGACATCAGCTTCTTGAATGTGAATATTTTCTGCTTTACCCCTGAACCCGTACTTTACCCCTTTTTGGGGTTTTCCAACTGTTGGTTGGGCAAAATAGGAAATTTTATAACATTACCAGGGGATCTGGAATCTTTTAGTGGGCATCTTTTTTGCAGTTTGCTGCTATTCTGTAGAGCAAATGATTAATTGATTAGTCAAGAATGAAAATCTTAGTGAGTTGCAGTCCTAGTGACATCTTCAGATCAGTTATTATATTCTACCAGCTGTCTATTATAAGAAAATAAAATCAATTTACATTGATATTGAATACAGAAATATAGCAAATCCTCACATTAAAAAGCTGGAACAGCAAATGTATGGTATTTTAACAAAATAAACAAACAATTCTGGAATTGTCATTGGCTAATTTTCTGTTGATTAACAAAAAGATTAATTAATTGTGTTAGCCCAATATCAGACAGTTATTTGCAAGATGAATACATGAAGCTGGTCTATCAGTCAGGTAATTCTCATTTCAATTGTGACCTTAATTTTGGTAAAACAGCCTGATAAAAATGTGCATGACATTTACAAGGGTAATGCTTTAATCTGGTTGTAATCGAATGATCAGCAGGCCAAAAAATGCACACACACACATACACACACACACATCACACATTTACCCACCCAGCTACCTCCACCACCACCCATGATCAACCTGAATTCCTTGTTGGCACCTCACATGTGCTGTCTGCACCCCCCCCCCCCCCCCCCCCCCCCCCCCCAACTCTATTATGTAATGACACCTCAGCACATAATATGACAATACCATAGATATTTCTATACAACCACACACAGAAAAACCAAACACACACACACACACAGGCTCACATGCACACACACACNTGGCCCCCCAGCTGTCTTTTCTCCCCCCCCCCCCCCCCAACTCTATTATGTAATGACACCTCAGCACATAATATGACAATACCATAGATATTTCTATACAACCACACACAGAAAAACCAAACACACACACACACACAGGCTCACATGCACACACACACTCTTACCCACACTGGCAAACACAATGACTTCTACTGGCCTGTGCCACTAAAACAAGTGTAATACAGCATCATAGGACCATGTGGTGAGAGTTGTATGAATTAATCTATTATATTACTGGAATGCCAAGCATTTAGTGTGCAGTTAATCCTTGTCCAAAAATCTGCAAAGCACTAATTGCTGAGTCTTTATCATGCGCCTCCTTTCATTTATTGAGCGATTTCGCACGTGATGTCAGCTGAGTGTATTAAGGTGCATTATTGCTGTGATATGAATATTACATAAGAGCATAATTTATGACTTTAGTTGAGATATTCCCCACGTTCCTCCACACAGTTTTTTGATTCATCAAGTGTGTGGTTATGGTATATTTCATCATGCTGACCCACTTTTATTTCATTGTATCTGACAGGGGCTGTAAATCATCTTGGAGGATACAATCTCAGGGGACTCTGCTGTCTTTACTTCACACAGGACTTCAGCGTGTGTATCAGTGTGAGTGCACGTGCATGTCTTAAATCCCAAGTCGTCTACTGAGAGTGTAAGCTTTTATCTCTCATTTTTTTCTCATTCATAACCCACTCTGTTTGTCATCTCTGCCTCCTTTACGCACTTCTCTTTTTTTTACGTTCTCACTCTATTCTATCTGGTGATTCCCTTTCACTCACTACGCTTGAATAATTGAGTAGTCGTGTAAGATGGCGTCATCACAAGCAGACTCCCGAGAACACATTCAGGCCAAAGAAACTGATGAGGATGTTATTTGCCTGTAGCTCGGGCGTGCCCCAAATATCACACACAATGTCATGGAATACACGTGCGTCCTTGAAAATGTAGTCCTTGTATCTCTGTCTTTACCGTGTCCCCTGTTGGTGACATCATGGTGATGGGGACCACAGATGGTGGGCAGCGCAGAGACTTCAACCCTGCACAGGAAGGCCCATCATCACTGTGAGCTCTGGCGAGGCAGAAATTTCTTTGAAATAGCTCTGATTCCATTGCAGGGCTGCCCACTGTGCAATTTTAATGAGCATCGAGGCTGTTTTGGGACTGTTCAGCACTAAAACCCCCTGAGGACTTGGGGTGAGTAAGAGCATGTGTGTGAGTGTGTGCTCCAACCATGTCTTTGCGTTTGTGTGTAGTTGTAAAGTCACAGTGTGGCTTCACCTCACGCTAGTTTTACTGGCATGCAGTGAGTGAATTATGGGGGAGGGGATTTTGGAATAAGTGAATAAGCGCCTCATTGTGTCATTCCCTTCATTACACAGACAGCGCATGCAGCAGGCAACTGGACAGACACCCTTAAATCATTAACTTGTTAAAACCAATAACGGGATGTGGACCCACAATTAAAACCTACACAACAAGGGATAAGAGGGGCAGTAAGTTCATTATGTGCAATCCTATTGATGCACGAACACACATGCTCAATTAATCCAACACATGCTTGTTGGATACTCAGAAGTGAAAACAACTGAGCACAGTAGTGATGCAACAACAACAAAACATGCTTTTCTCAACCTTATACTAAATACTTGCTGTATAGACATTTGTAAAATATAGTCATAATTTACTGGGGAAATAAAACTTTTTTCAAAATGAAATCGTAGGAGGCAAAGAGAAACACACAAACACAACATAAATGAGTGGAGATAATTAAATTATTATTAAAAATAAGTGGGAAAAACAGCAAATGTCCTTCATGCTCCCCAAAACTGAAGTGAGTTTAGGTCTCCTCCCTGTGCCCTCCACACATCCTCTTCCCGTCCTTTTCCTCTTGCCCCTCGCTTTCATCCTCCAGAGGAGAAAAGGGGGGGTGGAGGGCAGGGGCTTCTCTGCTAAAAACTGCATGGATACAAGGGGGGGCCGAGAGGGAGGGAGGCAGAGGGGAGGAAGGAGGGAGGGCGGTCTCTGTTGTTGTAACGTAGCACAGTCAGTGTGTCAGAGACAGGCCCATCACAAAATCAGCCAGTCAGTGTGTCAGAGTGTGCGGCGGGGAGGGGCGCACGCGTGTGCATCTGTGTTTTTAACTCTGGGTATGTTTGTGCGTGTATGTGTACATGCAGCATGGCTGATTTCATCCCGTCTGAGCAGGGAGAAATCAAACCACACCCTCTTAAAATATGCCACTCTTGTGCCCATGTGCACGCAGTATCCATGGGTGTGATGCTGGAGTGGAGAGAAAATGGGCTCAAGGAAACTGTGATGGGCATTTTTCACAATATTTTTAATTTACTATTTACATTTTATAGACTAAAGATTTAATTAATTAATCAAGGAAAGATTACAGATTAATAGATCACAGATTGCAGATTAATCAGTAAAGAAAATAATAGTTAGTTGTTGCAATAGTGATGTGTTGAGATTGATTTTTATGCTCAACCCACAGCCCAGAATCCAGTTCATTTTATAATGATATAAAACTGAAATGTAGCAAATCCTCACATTTAAAAAGCTGAAACCGGAAAATGTTCCAGATATTTGTGCTGGATAAATTGTTTAAATAATTCTGCTCTGTTGATCAACAAATCCATTAATTAGTCATTTCAGCCCCATATGAGACAGTTATTTGCCAGGTTTATATATAACATAATGTGTGTTTGAGTTATCAGCAATTTGGGGTTCTTCTTTAATCATGTTGCAAGGTTATACTGTACAGTAAAATCAGACAATACAACTCCGGCAACATATTTATGTAATTTCATAAACTTTTACAGGAGTACAATTAATGTTTGACTTTCACCCTTTCATTTTTTTTCACCATGCCTGGAAGCAAAGATCAGGTTGAAGCAGCCCATTTTTGGATTCCCTCTCTGCTCTACTCCCCTAAGCGAGTATATACTAAGAGATATTTACTCGTTTACTCATTGTGATGTCACGAAATAAACAACCAACCCACATGAACACACATATACGCTACAGTAGTGTTTGGGCTCTTTAGTAGCAGCTGGTTAGAGGATCAGCCAGCCCCCCCACTACTGCCAGTCAGATTACCGAGGCTGTAGTCTCACACCCTGTCGCCCCTCCTTTTCGCTACCCTCTCCTTCCTCCCTTCACCACCACCCCCCCACCCCACCCACACACGCACACTACAAAATGTACAGTCTCTAAATCTGCACCCCATTGAGTCACACATCTGTTTTGTGAGACCTGCCTTCCAAAACCGGTCCTACTCGCATCGTCACATCATTCCATAGCAAGAAGAAACAACAACACAAATATGAAAATGTGTGAGCGCAAATACGTAAACACAAAATACAGGCAGACAGTTCAGCTTTCAAAAATGTGTCATTTATTAAAAGATTTCTTCCTTTTGTATCGTTATTGAAAAAGTAGCCAGAAGAGTAATATCATGTAAAGATGGGGTGAGTGAAAGACAAGAGTTTAGTTTAGAAAGAAAAGATACTAACGGGGTAGAGGGAGATGAAGGAGAGAGGGCAGGAGCAGACGAATGCAGCAGAGTGGGGGAGGGGAGGCGAGGGGGAACTACAGTCAGCGTTTACAATGTAAGAAGAAGAAGGCAGCTAAAATAAACAAGACATTATTTCTGACCAGTCAGCAGTGGTCGGTCGCTGCAGTAGAAAACGTACATGAAAAAAAAGGACATAAACAATGAAAAATAAGTGCAATTGGTTTGTCTGTCTTACCACAACCGTATAAAAACAGGAGTTGGGTGGAAGACACCCCCAGCCTCTGATCGAGAGTCAGCGTCTGGAGCATCTTGCTGTCATTTCTGAAGACAGAATGGGGCAGGACAGTCTGACTCTGGGTCTGTGACTGAGGGGTTGTACGCGCCATACTCCCAAAACATAGGCAGTAACATGGAGGCTGCCAGTGGCTCTGTGTTCACATGTGGTGCTTTTTTTGGAGGAGGTTTGGTACATGGATAACGCCCGTCCCCCCCCCCCCCCCCCCCAATGTAAATAGCATATGAACCACTCATACCAATTTAAAAATACATTAGTCTAAATATTTACAATTCTTTTGCAATATAGGTAAATCCAATCACATCACTAAACCCCCTCCTACATTTATAAGAATATTGTGAGCAGATTTCCAAATAAAGAGAGCGCCTCCTATCAAACATCTACATTAGAACTGGAATTAGAATAACAGTAGCAGCAGTAGAGGGTTACATTTATATTTTCTGGGTTTTTTTTTTTCAAGTTTTCAAGAGCACCAACTATGAGTGCAGTTCAGTCTGTTCCTCTGTTGATCCGAACCAATATAAGAGCCCCAAAGGAAGGCTACACTTTAATAGTACATGACAAATAGTAGCCACTGCTGTTGGTGTATTTAAAAGCTGAAGAGGATGTAGGCAGTTTGGATTAACTGTAGATGTCAGACTACTAGAGCTGGACGCCGGTTATTAAGCAGTGGATAGTTGATGAAACTGTTGGTTTTGATGCTGTGTGTAACTTCAGAAGCAAGATGAAAATGACTACATGTAGGCTTTGATGACTGAATGTGTACTGGTTTGTGTGAAATACAAGCGAACAATCAAAACGCAGTATGAGTGCACTGAAAGCACCAAATGCTTTTTTTCTGAACACATCCTATTTGGTAAAAAGGCACAGTAGTCCAATAGTTCAATCATAAGATTATTTCACTTCCTTCAGTTTTTTTTTTTTCCTCATGATAGCAATAAAAACCACAAACTGTCAACAGCATCTTCCCTATCGCTTCAAAAATAACCAAAAAAAAAAAAAAAAAACTGTAGGCCAAACTATGCAAGCGCACAGGAGGCGATACTCAGCTGCCCAATAAATAAATACAAACAATAAATAAAAGCAGTGTCAGATCAACACATGAATAAATTAACTGTGGGACTCCAGAGTCATATGTCCTTGAGTGGTCCTTATTTTTCCTCAGGCTGGTCTTTTTAAAGTCTTTCTTGGATTTTCATGATGCTGATTACCGGTCGGTTTGCAGTCGGGTGACAGGAAAAGTTACGTGACCTCTGATGGCTGTGATGTCACTCCTCTCTCGATGCCTTGCCGCCGATCTGCCAGCCAAGTGCCCGAACAGTTCTTGGATTACATTCGTGAGTTGATGACATCATTCTTTCCACAAGGGTCCAATGACTCCAACACACCACACGTACAGTACAATGCCGCTTCCTGTACACTGTATTTCTCACATCACTAGCTACAAGATTTTCAAATGACTTCGATGTCATTTTTCCTCTGCAAGCCAGACACCTCAGTTCTATCTACAAGTGAATGTAAAGTCAACGTAGAATCAGATCCAGCTCACTCTGTGTTACTCCCTCTGGATCGCATCCTAACTAGAGTTACCCCATCAAATAAAACTCTGGAAGCTTTCATTCTGAACACTGACATCAGCTTTCCTATTTTCTGATTGAGAATGTCCCTCAAGTTAGATGTCTGCTAAAAACAGTCATCTCTGAATACAGAATATTGATTGTTTTCATGCTGAGGAGGAACAAGCGTTTGCTCATAGAAATTCTTCATAATCTCTCCTATTGGTCGTTAACTCAATAACCTGTTAATACCCTTTAAGCTTTAGGTGTTCTTTCCCATTCCCCTCAAACCACATTTGAACTGTTATGGAATTGTGATTACTGACTAGATTTGATTCATTGGAATACATTACGTCCTGTTGTTTGAAATACTGTTAAAGTTGTGGTCTTGATGAGGGGTTGTGTGTCATCTATCATTTGTCTTCAACATCTAAGCACCTACAATTCTTTCCTCCCCTTCCTCTCTTTAATGTTTCTGTAATGACAGGCCTTCATCCTCTTCCCTTCTTCCTCTCACAGCAGCTTTAAGCTCAGTGGTGTAACAAAGCGACGCTGCCGGCTCCTTGCTTGTTCAATGCATCAGGTCTCTAAGGGGGTGGGGCACACCCTGGGCAAAGGCTTAAGTGTGACATGAGGAGATTGGCTTTGACCCTGGCAGGCCTTGACGGTCTCACTCTCACTCTGTTGTCCAGCAACAGGCTGGCTTTGGCACCGGATTGGCTTCTTCAAATTTTTGGGGTGCTTGTAGGGTGTGGTAGAAGAGATGGAGCTGTCTTGTGTAGCGGGGCTGCCCCTCCTGCTGGGCGGGAGAATGGCAGTGACAGGCTGGTTTTCATTGTTAACCGCCGCGGTTGTGCCCTCGTGTGAGTTGCAGGCTTTTCGCGGGGACAGGATGGGGGCGACGTGAACCCACGTCAGGCTCGGCTCAGAGCGTTGACCTGCTTTGTACTTTGATAGCTTGCCTAGTTCCTCGCTGTCACTGTCCTTTCCCTTTGTGTCCTCATTTAACTGGCTGTTACCGGCCACATCTGGTGGATTTTGACTTGCATCAGAAGCCAGTGATGGAGGAGGAGGGTCGTCCCTTTCATCTTGATCTTGCTTCACCCTCTTCTCCTCCCCTCTGATACGAGGGCACTTGAGAAGCGCTGCCGAAGGCGCGGGAGCGTCCGTGCCTGTCCAGCTGAGTCTACGTTTCTGGAAAATGAGCAGGAGAGTAATTAGCAAGTGAATCTAGAACTCGTGGTGGTGGTGGCGGTGGGGTTTGTTTGTGTGCGCACAAGTAGGCTCTTGCACACACAGGAATGCGTTTGTTCTCACCTTGACGGGAATATGTAACTGATCCCTGTGCTTGTGTGGCGGGGTGGAGCTGGAAGTGTCTTGGAGGGAGCGGGCAGGGGATGTGGCGACGCTGGAGGCTGCAGAGACAGGCTGAGTGGGGATCTGAGGAAACCAAAGCTTTAACATCATCTCCACCTGGAGCAAAGTGTTCAGGTACTTCTCCCTAGAAAAAAGAAGAGAGAGAAAGTCAAAAGGTGAGATATGAATGTAAAGTGAGAAACATGTGGTGATGCAATTGTGTTATTGCACAAGAAAACATCTGAATGTTTATTATTATTATAGATCTAGATAAAAAATGAAAAAAGTTTGGTGTTGCTCTGCACTGCCAGTGAATGCTGTAACTCTACCTACCCCAAGGACTGTTCAATAAAACATGGAACAGGAGATGAGACTTGAAATAGAAGACTACCACACTGGTCCCTTCTTGTTATAACCACAATTTAATAATCAAAAATCCAACTAAGATGTGTCTAATGATACAGGAATACAGCAAGATGAGAAACAATGAGAGTGCACGTTGGGACAATGTGGATGACATCTCACCCGCTGTTGGGTCTCTGTAAAACTCCCACAATCCTCTGGATTCGATCCATGGCAACGCTCTGCTGGAAACTACTCAGACCTGTCAATCAAAAACATATTCATCCAGTCAGCCATTGACACTCTTGAGAGTCGGCAGTCACGGAAAATGCATGCAAATTTAGACATTCAGTCTCACACATACGTGTTCACACCACTTTCACTTGTGATATCACTAAAACTCCCAAGAGCTGATGAGTCAGCCACAAGACTGTCGCTTCACACATGCTGCACTTTCGACTACATCAATAGGCTGCGTCAATACAGACTGCTGCACAGAGGCACAGGCCACTCAGACCATATAAACGTGTGTTCAGCATCTACACGTTTAGCTGCCAGTCTGCACATATGCTCGTCTGGAGGCAGAGACGTACAGTAAGGGTGCTTACCGCGGTCGAATCGGCCCCTCTTCAGTCCATTCAGCAGCTCCAGCAGGGGCCTGACAAAACCCTGTAGCTCAGCACACTGACAGGAAGAGGAAGAGAAGATAGATTAATACTGAGTTTGGGTTCGTACTTGCTGTCTGAATCAGTCTGCTAGGCTTGTCTCTGCACACACATACACACATTGCTCTGTCATCCCTCTCTTTTTCCAGACCCTCCGCACGGACATGTCTCGTACCTTTTGAGCAAACAGCAGATCTCCCTCTGATTTTGGGATTTGGCTCGTAGGATCCGTCTCATTCAATCTGATGTGAGCTGCTTTGCTGCCACTCTCCAGCCTGTATGACTCCTCCTCTTCCTCTTTATCGGTGAAGCCGTCGCACGCCCACTGGGACCCGGGACTTTCCGATCCCCCGTCTGCATTGGCTGTAGGCCCGCCCGCCTCGCCGATAATGACGGAGGACGAGTTGTCTGTCAGGAAGACGTCTGTGTCGTCCTCTGCTTGCTCCGAGTCGCTGAACAAGAGGCTGTCGCTGGAGCTCAGGGAATCAAAAGAGGGCTGAGAGGAAGTGCTGCCCTGGGACTGCATTGCTGTTGGGGCAGTAGCAGCAGAGGGTTAGGGATATTATGACAGTCAATTTGGCTTAGAGAGGAACAAAAGAAATAGCTTGACTGAAAACTCAGAACAAACATTTTTAACTGTGAGAGACAGGTCACATGAAGACAGACAAGAAGTACAAGGCAAATAAACAAAAAACATTGCAAAAGAACTGTTTTCCATTTGGCAAAACTCATTTTTTAACCCATGTCTCTCCAAAAAATAATAACCCCAATTACTCAAAATGGTGGGTATACCAGTGCCCTACTTTAACATGGTGCAGAGGGGGACTGGGGCTAGGCAGTAGGCACACAATGGTAGTGCATGTCTGGCTCCCATTGAGGAGATTGGAGACTGGAGAGGAGAGTAAAATGTGAGGGGGATGGGAGATTGTAGAGTAGTGAAATCAGAATAGGCAGTCTCTCTCTCTCTCTCTCCCCCACTGCCTCCGGTGCTCTCTCTAGCCCCTCCTCTCTGTCTCGGGCTTGCTCTCCATCCCCCCTTGGAGTCACACACATCCACATCCGCACACACACACACACACACACACACACACACACACACACAAACCTCTCTCTTTCCTCTCCGGCTGCATTTCTGTATGCCTCTCATCTCTCTCTGCTCTGCCTTCAGCTCATCCTGTTCGTTATGCACACACACAAACCCAGTGCTCTTCTTCCTTTCCTCTTCCACAGACCAGCCCTCCTCCTCCTCTTCCTCTCTTACTCACATTTTACATTCTGTATCTCTGGCCATGTGCCTTTCTCTCACCTCTCTTTTCCTTTCTTTCTCTCTCTCACTCTGTAATCTCTGAGTGCCTGCTGGTCTCTGATCCCACCAACACAGCGGGGGAAAATTAGAGGGGTCAGAAGAATACTCTCAGCTGCTACACACACCAACACAGCTTTTATCAATGTGACAAAAATATAGTCGAAAAACATGCTCACAGACAAAGAAGAGTAATGCCGATTTTTTTTTTTTTTTTTTTTGCAGTGTGCCCACAGAAACACAAAAACAGTCCACACTTTGCTTCTATTTCAGGAGTATAGAAAGATTTAACCAATCCTGTTCAGCTTTTACAACAGACAAACGCCTTGCCATTCACATTTTATTTGTGTCTGATGGCTGGTTTCTATTTAGGCTGGTTTGCTTTCTCTTAAAACAAAATGTCACGTTGTTTATATGCATTTTCACGAGTCAACTGAAACAAATACTGGGAGAAGACAACAATAAATTTTGTCCCGTTTCCTAATTTTTTTCAACGCCCTCTCTGATTTGGTCCATAGCCCATGGTAGCTGGGATGGAGATGGGGTGGGGTGGAGTGGGATGGTGCATATGTCGGTACAGCCTGCACAGGTAGGCATGGTCCATGAGGCTGCGTCTCAGGTGTTGGCTGCCTGTCTGTGTCTGCGCATCACGGTGCCCAAAACAGGAACTAACACACCGCACAGTTTCATACAAAATGTTCTGTACATTTGGAACCAAGCTATCATCATTTAAAATATCAGAAATCAATCCGCGTGACATGCAAACAAAGCAAATATCAAACATAATATGAAATGCGATTTTTCATTGTATTGTTCTGGTAATATAAAAGTCCTGCCAATCGCACATTATTTCATGGTAATGTTTACTTAATAAAAAATGGTTGGCAATAAGCTGCGTGAGGGAAAAAAATAGCTTTTGGCTTCATCAATAAATTGTACCGGGAGCACACACAGGATATAGCGGGACAGGAAATTCCTTTAGGCTGCCCTGCGAACTTCGGGAAACGTTAGAGACAAAAAAAAATACTCACCCTCAGTAATGTGAGATAAAAACAGCAGCTGCCAGAAACAAGCGTTAACGGCTCTCTCAGCTACTTTGAAACGACAGATCCGTCAGTACACAGTCCGTAGCTGGAGCTGCATCGGGGCGCCCAGCCTCAGCTCTCTCGCTCCGCCCGGCAGTTCATCGGTGTGTCTTTGCTCGGTCTTTCTCTCGTCACTTTACGAGCGTCAACATGTGCGCTGATCCACGTGCCCACGTTTTGCGCGCATTCTATTGGCTGCCGGCCCGGCGGCGGCGCACGCCATTGGTTGACCTATCCAGCCAGTGATTTCTTTACTAGGCGCTGATTGGGCGGCGGCCCAGGCACTCACGGTCCGGCCCACTCATGTGTAGCTCGTGTGCATGGTGTCGGGTAGGCTTGCGCTACTACCGAGAGCGGGTGTAAACACATGCACGCACTACGTACGGCGTCGGTAGTCACGAGAAATGCACTATATGCTCGATGCATCTGATGTACACAGTATTGGTGACCAGCCCCCCCTCACACTCACACCCAAAACATAAAACACGCGCCGGAATATCAAAAACCTTATGCAACAGAGCTCCCATCAAACTGATTTGGTTTAATTGAATAGATGCAGAAATAACGAGCACCAGAAAAACAAAGATGACTCTCCATCCTCACCGGTGAGGATGATGGACCTTCAATCAAAAGGAAAAAAAGCCTGTAGTTCAGAGGGAGAAATAAATAAAGATATTTGTCTGGATTGTTACTTGTTGGGATGTAAAATCTTTTTTTTAATGCAAGTACACACTTCTATGGCTCCCGGTTATTTTCTTCAGCGCTTCTATTAAGGCTCCTCGAGAATAAAGTCTGTCATGAATAGGTTTATGCTGTATACTTGACAATTCTACAGGGGAAAATACCCATAAGATGTGACATTTCTGATAACAGGAACAGAAATTTCACATTTTTAATGGCTAGGGTGATGCAACATTGCCAGGAACAGGCCAACCTTATTTTTTCAAACATAACTTGTCGACCTTATCTGAGATATCTTGAATATTCTTCTAAATGTTTTATTGTTATATTTTTCTAATTTTTCTTGCAGTTTTGCCATGGGAGATGTGAATTTTCTTTATTTTCAGTTGTTTTATAAGTTTAACTGACAAACAGGCTTTGTGGCTCAAAGATGTCATGTCACAAACATCCTCAAACATAATTCTTCAAAAAAAAAAGAAAAAAGAAAAAGGTGTTGTCATTGTTCAGACAGCACAACTGGAAAACAAGGGGTAAAATAGGAGTTAAAATGTGAAAAATGTAGTAAAATGTGATATTTAATTGAATTAAATAAAAAAAATATAATGTTTTATTTTGTGTCATTGTGGCTCTATTGTTAAATCAATCAATAATACATAAAATGAAATGGAGATTTGACCATAATGTGGCAAATCAGTTTCTAGGTCCATGATATATGGCAAAGAAGCAAACCTCCCCCTCTGCTTTAGGTTACTACATAGTGAACTCAGTGACCCCCTACTTGAAACATGCAGTGCAGTATACCAGGATGTATAGATCTCTTTCTCTCTCACACACACACACACACACACACACACACACACACACACACACACACACACACACACTCTCTCTCTCACACACACACACACACATATATACATACACACACACACAAAATCTGTCCCCTACTCATCTACTCATCAAATGTATTGGTATTTTCTCCCCTCATAAGACTTTAATTGCAGGTCAGTTATTATGCTGGCTTTTACTGGTATTTTTAGATGTGGAATGCCAGGTTGAAGCGCGAGGAGTGGTGGATGCCTTTAAGCGCCTTGCATGTCAGGGATGAAGGGGATACCCTTCCCCCACTATACATACAACATACACATGAACCCACTGACCCTTCTCCTCAACACGCACACAACAAGCTGTGTCCTTGTTTGAGTGACAATGCCTGTCTTTTAGCATTGTAACTATGTACAATCAGTTAGTAATTTCAACACCAGGTGAGAAAACCACCCCTTCTTGTTGTCCAAACACTATAATGTTTAACCTTTGGTAATAGTAAACCAAGGGAAAGGTTCCTGTTTGTGTAGGCTATACATAACAGAGACCAGGTCAACAGAAAAAAGCTTTCCACCCCCAACAGCATTCCTCTGCAGCACATGAACCCAATGAACCTCCTCTGAGTTCATGAGAGCTGAAGACCACCCCCATCATTTCCATCTCCCATCCCCCTAAGTTCCATCCCCCACCTGGTGTATGTGTTTTTTCTCTCCATCGTCTTCTCATTATGGTCCCTCGTATTGACTTGCTTGAGAACTCAATAGGAAGGACATTGTTAAGCCTAAGCCCATGGATGGTGCTGTTGTTGAGGAAGTGGGTCAAAGTGCAGTACTTCCAATGGGACCCTAGTATGGCAATAAAGCCTTGCTCAGGTAGGTTACTCAAGGCAGAAATGGAGTTATGCACATCTGGAATAAAATGTTGTGTTACATCTGAAGTTACAATACGGTGTAAAGGATTTGTAGATCTACTGTTGACGCTTATGTCCTCAAATGACATGTTGGCCGATGCTGCAGATGATCCTGTGGTTTATGTCAGGACGAGGCTAAAAGAGATCAATGACAATATATTCAGTTATACTGAATATCATAATGTCAACATTACTTTACCTTTAAGTCTTACTCATTGTGAAAGCACACAGGCATTCATGTAGTGAAAGCATGCATGAGTTTCTGTAAGGCCAAATGCACAAGCAGGTGTGGAGAGAGCCAGACACCACAACAGAAATTTGATCTGCCTGAGGGAAGACAGAGGCCTAAAGAGAGACTAAACTGTAAACTGTCTCCCCACTCTCAATGCAGAGGCCGAGCAACATATCACGTTTCACCTGGAAACCAGGACAGCTGGGAAACAATTACACATTGCTGCTGCTGCTGCTGCGTCCTCTCTGCACTGCACCTGTCTGCCAGCCTGTCTGTCTGTCTGTCTGTCTGAAGCTGCCTCCACATTAGAGAATAAGTTATCATGGCATATTGCTGTTGAACAATTGTGACAGAGGAACAAGATGAAATTTTGTGTGTGGCTGCAAATGCCTCAGCGCCTCCACAGTACAGTTCATATTTCAGGGCATGACAAGCTGGAACAGTACCACTAAATGATGATGATGATTATTATTATTATTCCTTTTCAAATTTAAAGGATTAATAATTTGGTTTGAAACAGCCTAGCACAAAGTGATCACTTAGTTCGACACAGTTATCGACCACTATCTCTCTGTCAATCATACAGATGGATTCTGCATTGCCATTGGTAGAGCAACACTTTTATTACATTCCCTTATCAGATCATGTAACTCAGCTCTGCTTCAATAGTTGTAGGACTATATTTATGTTAACATATAATCTGACTATAAATGACTACATGCCAGTTGAAAAAAAGCATTGACGTGTATTCAAAACCAGTCACACTCCATCCTTCTGCCAAGCCTGCAACGTCTCTCCCTGCTCACATTTGCAGTGGGATCTTCACATGTTGGAGAGACGCTCCGCTGCTAGATTTGTGAATGAAATCAAATGGCACGCCCCCTGCGCAGGCGTAGCCAATGGCGTATGAAAATATTCTAACCACGCCCGTCTATGGAGCGCTGAGCGACCAATGGGAGAGCGGCGATGGTTACCACTGTTGCATAATTTGGCTGAAGCGCTTCACGTTTGAGCGGACTGGTACACAGTGTGAAAAGAGCAGGAGAGACAGACAGAGGAGGCGGAAGTAGTACCAGAGATGTGAGTTCATGTTAGAAGTATTCATCACCAATAAAACAGATTAATCTCAATAACATACACAGAGCAGTTATTAGTTGAGAGTACCGATTTTAACGTTTGAAGTCCTCCGTCCTTCCTTAGTGATGTGATGACAAAAAACATCCAGACACTAATTATACCGCCACACATTATTGAGCCTTTAGATCACAGATGGAAAATAGTAATCTATGGACGTTTGTTCTAGGTTTTCAACAAAAAGTATGAACGAGCTCCAAAATCACAAAAACAACTGTAATCGATACTTTATTAGATAAAGCAAGAGATAACTAACTAATTACTGGGAAGGCCTGTGTAATGGTCAACATGTTTACATTGGCTAAATCATCTAGATAGATGAATAAGGCAGTGGCTCTTCCAGACTAGCCATTCACTGTGCAGTAAGTGATGTAACCTTTGCAGCTTTATTTTAATGTTTTAAATTTATCCTTGACTCCACAATGTGATGTAATCCAGATCAAAAGACTCTTGGCTGGATTGCCACTGATTTTAAAGGGAACTCCACCCTGAATCACACAATTTAGATGTATTGCCTACTTCAGTGATTAAGTTAAAAAAAAAAAAAAGAAAAAAAAGGGAGTAGTTCAATTTATAAAGCTCATCTAAGCATCATACTTTAATTGGCAGTTTTTCCATTGATGATGAAAACATCCATTGAATCACGTGCTCACAAACCAATCTTTACAATGAGAATTAGTGACAATGTAAATTCAGTTTTAGGGTGGATTTTCCGTTTGAGGAATCAGCCCAACATGTCACGTGGAGAGGGCTCCCCCTTGTGTTCAAAATGCAACAAGTCAATAAAGTTTGTGAACATGATGTTCAGTTTGTGTAACCTTTGTAATAGAGACATAGGCTACTGTAAATTCTAAACATGCATTTTTTAAAATACATAATTCATAGCCGGTCTTCGTTCAGGCGACAAAAACAATCATATTTGTAAAGAATAAATCATTTTCTTACGAAGAATAATGCAACATTATATAACCCTAACACACACATGCTGAACACACCTGCTATAAAGGCTACACTGCATTTCAATTTACGGACTTGGGTCATTGTTGGTTATATAGAGAACTGAAAATAACAACAGGCCTCTTATCATTCAAGTATAGCAAACCATGACAGCCAGTGTGTTAACATGCTCACTAATATCCTGGTTTTGATCTTATTTGGGATTTGGTTCACGAGAAATGCATCATTTCAACACTGTCTGATCATCTGTGTGCTGTTGTGTCTTGATTTATCACCATATCAGCCTTTGTCTTCTTTGTCAGAAACCTGGATGAGGTGTATACATGCCACAGTATCCTGGTTTCCATTGGAGTCTTCCAGGTAGCATATTCAGGAGTCTCAAAACCAGGATAAGATATTTACATGTGCCACACACTCATGACCAGAATACAAGTGCACATGCGCAGTGAGACAATGAGCCAGACTGCGCAATACCAGGACCATGAAATTTACATTTACATTTCAAAACATGGTCTGTGAAAAAAAAGGATATGGACTCCCCATATGAAAAATAAAAAAATGCAAAAATCACAAACTATGTACTGTATGTATAATATGCAACACAACTATTGTGTATTTGATTCTGACAAATTTAATATACATTTCATAATCATATTTGGAGCTGCAATGACTGAATTAATATATCAGCTGATCAGCAACAAATTTATCAGCAACTGTTTTGATACTTGATTTATTATTTCAGTCACATTCTCTGGTTTCAAAACAATTATTTGACTAACAAAAGAAATAATAATAATAATAATAAAGAAAAATAATTGTCAGATTTATTGGTAATAAAAATAACTATTAATTGCAGCTCTAATCCATATCTACTGCCACAAAACACAGATCTATGGGACTTGAAAATAAAGATAATGTGTGTAAACAGAGAGACTAGCCTACATATTACACATTAACAGATTTATTCATTCCAAATTGCTGTTTTCTAGTCCTATGGTTCCCAACCTGGGGATCATCCTACAAGGTATTTTGGAGATGAATGACGGGGTTACGAGATGACTATCGGGGTGGGACTTTTAGAAGGCAATTAAAAACAAAAAATTCTAAATTAAAATATGAAATACGTTATATTAAAAAAAAATGAAGATGTATAGTAAATAAATGGTGTCCCTCACATATACTGTAGATCATATACAATGCACATTTGCAACAGTACAGTGCAACAGTACAACATTATTTCAGTTTACAGTATGAACAGCAAATCAAACAATCTGTCAAATGAAAATCATCAGACATGAGCAACATGCAGCAAGGAGTCCAAAGGAATTATTGCCTTGTATTTAGTAATAAATACTGTACCAGCCAGTGTGATACATCCTCGTCCTCTCTTCTTCTTCTCATTCTATTTACTGAACCAGAAATGAGGATAAATAAGTTCAGGTGAAGTTTACTGTCAAACTGAAGCAGCCTCTTCTCACCCAGCAGGATTTCTGCAACACTTTGTCCCTTTTAGAAAGTTTGGAGAGTCAGTCGCCTCTTCTCAGATTCACACATTTCCTCGTCTCCTCTGTCGTGATCTGTGCGTTTTTGCATCATATGGCACCTTTCTCTCTTTCTCCCTATTTTTACACTCTGTTGTTCCCATGCAGTAACCTTCTCCTCTCAGCCCTGCATTCTCTCCCTCTCACCCTCCTTTTAGTAACTAACACTGAATTCATTCTCACTCGCTGGTCTGTTTGGAGTCTCGTCTCTCCCTGATTTCTTCTCTCTCTTCTCTTTTCATACCTTCTTTCTCTCCATCTGTCTCTTGCTCTGGTGCCCTGTATGCCAGAGTGGATTCAGCATGTAACATCCACAGTCTGGCTGTTAAACAGAGCTGTGGCAGGTGGGATCGCTGGACCCAGTCAGTCTCCCCTCCTTCTCTCTCTCTCTCTCTCTCTCTCTCTCTCTCTCTCCCTCTCTCCCTCTCTCCCTCTCTCACTTGCTCCTCATTTCTCTGTCCACTTTTATTCATTTCTGTGTATGGACAAGTAGGGCTAATATGGGTCTTTTTATACTTCTAATGCTTCTGTGTTTCCAGTGGACAGCTGCCCCTGCTGCTGGTAAGCTCTTCATTAACATAATCGGCATCATGCAAGATTTCTCTCTTGCTTTGGTATTCGTGTGTTAGCTTGTTTGGGTGTTTCAGTGTGAGCTGTAGTAGTGGAGCAGTAGTAAAATCCAGAAATAACAATCGGATTTGAGCAGTATTTGAGGACTACAGTAGTGCTGTAGTTAAGAATTAACTTGTTGTTTAGAATTGTGCTGGATTGGTATTAAAAGCAGCAGGCTGTAGATTAGAAGCGATGAAAATATATTACAGGGTTAAATTAAATAGAAAATGTTTAATCTGATGCTTTTAAAATGGTCAATGTTTATTTAATTTTAGATTTGAGACATTTAGAACCATTGTGAACCGGAAGAATGAAAACTGGCTAAAAGTGGAGTTTTAAGAATTTTTCTCTTTTATTCTTTTTCAGATGAAATTACCTGGACTTACACTGGTAAGTTCAAGTTCAAGTTTATTTGTAGAGCAAACCCCCATGTAAAAGCAATATAAAGTGTTGTAAAGTGTTTTTTTTTTTTAGTAGAAAGTAAGTAGAAAATAAGACATAAGATAGTCTATATATGTTGTATGTATGTCAGATATAATGTATATTCTCATTGAGTTCTGTGATAAAGAGGTAACAAGTAGAGATATTTGAGAAGTGGAGTGATATGATTGTCTAACGCAGGATGATTTACATCGAGAAGTCGACAAGTTTTCCTGAAAAATAACTGCAACTATCTGACTGAATGAAACTACTCATACTTTTCACTCTGACTTCACTGCACGTCATTGAAAGCTGTATCGCTAAAACATTATAACTATCATAAAAGCTTGTGTAACTTGGGTAGGATTTGTGCCTTTTCCCCTCATATCTTCCACCCCTTGTCCCTCTGTTTTCCTCTCCTTCCCCCTCTGTCTGTATTAGTTACAGTTCAACAAGCTGGCATGAGCACAGCAGTCACACAGAGATGATGAAGGGGTGGAGGGAGACAGAGAGGAAGAAAGCAAGAAAAAGGCTTAGAGAGAGGCTGGAGGAGGGAGGCAGGTGCACAGGGATGAAGCAGGCGAGAGTGGGGAGAGGGTGGTGGACAGAGAGAGGGAGATGGGACGGGATGAAGCAAAAGCATACCAAATCGTGCCCTGTATTGTTGCAGCGCACAAAAACCTATGTGTTTATTGTTCTGTGGATGCACACTGGCTGCCTTTGCCGTGGACAATGACATTGTGGGAATGAATGGGGCACACAGACTACCACTCTCTGTGTGCATTCAGGAGACCAACACCAATGTACAGTACATACAGAATGCACAGAAAACTGTAGAGGCTGTGCCTGGAGCAAACTGGTATCTATACATTGTGCGTTTAGGCATTATTATAATAGATACAGAGGCAAGTGTACTGTGCAGAACACGTCATGTAATCTCAGAGTAGTAGCTTGTATGTTGAGTGATTGTTTCCTGAATTTAGATGCATTTCATTTGTTATTCATTTGTCAAGAAGTTTCCAAAGTAAAAGTGATTCACCTTCAGTCCATACAGCGCTAGAATGAGTGAGGGCGTGTGTGAGGCATGCTGTATGACACAGCGTTGCATGATGTGGCTGTTACTGAGCTGCTAGCTGGAGCGGAAAGTCGGTTTTGTTATGCATTTTTGTTATGCACGCATTTTGTCACACGGAAGAGCGGAATTACACGATTTCAGAGATACTTCTTTCCACGAGAGATGGAGAGTTGTGTAAAGTAATCGGGGGAAAGTCAGTCTCACGTTCCATCATTGTCCTCATCATGCTCTGAGCGAGTGAGGGAATCTGCATATGTGTGTGTGTGTGTCTTTGTTCCTGGCTGTATTCAGGACAGCGGTAGCATGCTAGGAGAGGTAGAACAGGCGCACCGGGTCAGAATTTTCGGCCTCCGGTCACCATGGAGACCTCCATGACGACCAATAGCGGGGCTGTGGGACTCACTTTTGAAGTTGAGTCCTGGTGTGGGGCTTTGCTGTGGAGAGCAGTGAGGGGCGGGGGGTGGGAGGGCAGAGAACAGATTAGAAGTGTGAGCTGGGGGTTGCAGGCACTGGGAGATGTGGTATGTGTTTACATCACTGATGTAGAGTCCCCTCCTCACATTGTATGTGTGTGTGAAAGGGAGAGGGGATGAGGGGAAGGACTGGGCCTACCGTAATTACTGTATGTATGTAGATGAAGTTGGTGATGACTGAGTTACAACCAAACCATGATCCATGGCTTACAAACATGGTACAGTACTTGGGATACATTCTGTCTTACCTTTTTCTTCAACTTTTTTTTTTTTTTTTTTTACATAAAACATGCTTGTCATTAACATTGGATACTTGTTTTTGCACACTACTGACACATTTCTTTCTGGGTAAAATGTGTCAGTGGTGTGCTGGTTTTCTAAAGCATTCTTCTCTTTGCAATTGAAATTCAGATTCTTTGACTCACATGTCACTCTCTTTTTCATTCAGACTCCTTTTTTCTAACTTTCTTTTATTATGCAATTGAGGAGACCAGTCTCTTTTTTTCCTCTGTGTACCGAGGCCTAAATCACTTTATCCCCTCCCACATAACTTCTTAATATTCCTCTGTCCAACTTTTAATTAAATTCTTAATTTTCAGTGTTTTAGTTGTTGTATGAGGATGAAAGGTCTGCTAATTAATGTGAAAATATGTTGTCAGATATAAGCTCACGTGCTGCTTTCTAAAAGTACTATCACATTTTTAATTTCTGAATTTCTCATTCAGGAATCAAAGTTGCCATTTTAATTTTCCTGCTGAGTTTTTAGATATTGGAGAACTATATATAAAGAAATTGGTAATTAATCCTCTGTTATGACCACAAAAACATATTTAATTGTTTTTGTTTTTTCCTGCCATGAAAAACGCATCAATTTTTACACATCAATACTCAGTCATAAACCTTAACATCTAGGGAACAGTAATTCCATCTGTTTGCAGTGTAGCTCTTAACAAGACAGATAAATACGTTAAAGAAGCAAATCATTTGATTTGGACATTTGATTCAACAATGATCATAGAATGAGTTTATTCATATAGAAAACATTTTTATTATCTCATCTGAATGTCAGGCTATTTAGTGAAAAATCTACCAATGTTATGGTAGATGTGAGTGGCTCAGTGTGTTTGGTTTGTTTTAGTTTTTTTGTTCCAATTTTTTATGTTGGTAAAAATCACCACCAGAGAACATCAAGGAATAATTGTCCTGCATAATTAAAGACTGATCAATGGAGGCTTTTCACCAGATGACTCGGAGTCAGTGGACTGTGTGATTGGGTGACATCATTTTTCTCCTGTCCCTTCTCCCGTCAAAGGCTTGGTGGGTCAGTCTGAGTGGTCCGCGTATTTCCCTGACTGCCGTGGTACATCTCAGTCCCCAATTGACGTGGTAACCACCCAGACGAAATATGACCCCAGTTTGATCCCTCTGACCCCGCTGGGCTACAGTCAGCATGGCAACAAGCCCTTCACTCTGTACAATAATGGACACACAGGTAACTATAGCAGCGGATTTCCAGCTCCTAACATAACCCTCTCCCAGGTATCCCAGCAGCTTTACGGTTGATCTATTTATACTGCACCATCCTCAAACATATCCTAGCAGTAAACTTTTTACTGCCCATGGATAGAGAGATTAGTTAAAATAAAAATATATATATATAATCACTTTTAAGAAGTTTCTCATCAGAGAAGCCAGTTGAAGTCAACTATTTTGTTTCATCTGTCTCTCCATCAGCTGTGATTGAGCTGCCAGAGTGGATGGGACTAGGGGGGCTGCCCTGGCTCTTTACAGCTGTACAAATGCATCTTCACTGGGGCAGCGGCGGCCCGAGCCATGGGGGCAGTGAACACACCATCAACGGACTGAGTGCAGATGCAGAGGTACTCTTAAACACAGCCAACTGTAAACAGTAAAATCCACAGACAAACTACAAGAGGAGTCACAGCCAATCTGAGTCACAGCCAGGAGTAAATGGCAGCCGCGGTCACATGGTGTGATAACAGTGGTTGTCTAAAAACGTCAAGATTTTATACAAAAGAATGAACTGAAGTCCCCAGCTGCTTCAGGGAATAGTTTTTTTTAAATGACTCAGATGCTTAGTCAGATATAGCTCCCAATGACCCCTGTTTTTTGTTTGAATCAGTCAAGAAGAACGGGCACTCCACAGACAGGATAGCTGGTTATAGTTAAAGGATTGAGAGATGAAGTAACACATATTTGGCTTTTGTCTAAGATTTTCTTTCTAGAGCCCGAACGATATTGGAGTTTTGGGGCCGATGTCAATGCCGATATTAAGGAGTAAAAAAATTCCGATATCGATATATCGGCCGACGTATATATATATATATATAAACACTTGCACATTAAACACACTGCCCTTATAACTTTACCGATATATCTGTGATAGGCCAATATTGAAATATTGAAAATAGGTCGGGCTCAATTTCTTTCTTTCTTTTTTCTCTGTTCTCTTCTTTCACTGTTACCCTCTTTACACCTCATACTTTCTGTATCTCTTTCCTACACAAATCTGTTACAGTTGAGTCAGCTTGGATCCCTGTTCTGGTTTACTGTGGGATAAAGGATGGCCTTTAGAGCCAGCTTAGAGAGTGGTGCAGAGACAGAGGAGCAACAGACAAGAACATTTTGGCACAGACTGATGATGAGTTAAAAAAAAAACCCAAAGAGAGGAATAAATAAATTGTAAAAGCATGTGATTAACCTTTTTAGGAATGGGACAAGATGGAGAAAGAGTGTAGTAAGGAGGGAAGGTTAGCTGTGTCAGCACCTCATTTCCTGTTCATCTGTCACTGGTCAGGTATGCCAACACACCGGAGGTGTAAGGGTTTTTAAGAAGATTAAAGATTAACGTTATGCAGGAATGAAGAATATATAATAAGAAAAAATACAAATAAAGAATAAGAGAGGGCTTATTAACCATAATAAGACAATTAAGTGCTTCCTCATTCACATCAGTCTTTCCTAATCCCTCTTTATTTTTCTGCGGTCATTCTCTCGCAGCCTATCCTCTCTCAGTCTTTCCCTCTCTTTTGGTTATTTTTAACACTCATCAGTCAGGAAGACAACCCAGGATGAGTCTCTCTTTCCTTTGTTTGTCTCTTTCTCATCAGAGTGACTAAACTAGCTGTGCTCTTCCTCTCTCCAGCTTCACGTGGTTCACTACAACTCTGAACTCTACCCCAACATGTCTGCAGCAATGACACAGAGGGACGGCCTAGCTGTTTTAGGAATTCTCATCGTGGTAATGAAAAAAAATTATTAAAGAATAAGAAGAGTAATTATTTTACAATTTAGTATTTTGAGAAATGTAATAAACATCCAAGGCTGAGATTTGGTTTTCTAGACAGGTGAGGAGACGAACCTGGCATTTAACAGCATCCTCAACTACCTGAGCCGCATCAGACATGCAGGTAACACCAGGAAAAAAAATATAAAACTACATCTTTTTGTTTGGCTTACAGTGTCTTTACTGTTCATAAATGATCAAGTGATTTATAAGTTTGTTTTCTTCTACTCGTTCTACAAGATTAGTCAGTGGCTTGGATAGTTTTCTCTCACTACTTTGTAATTTGCAGTTTCCATTTCCATTTGTGGGTTGATTGAATTCACAGTCACAGTATATTGAAAAGATAAGATGACGACTGCGTCAGAAAAAGAAGAGAACTATGTGACTGTAAAAATATTTTGTTCTAAAGCAAAACATAGGAAGAAACATGTTGATTCAGGTATTTAAAGATATTGATGAAACAATGATGGAGATAAAAACTGCTACAACCAATTCTTTGTTATGTTTTGATGACATGTGGCTCCTGAATATAAGCCCTCACATATTCTCCTTTCTCCTCCTTTCATCCACTGTCAGACCAGAAAGTGCCCATCCCAGCCTTTGACATCCAATCCCTGCTCCCTAAGGACCTGGGACGCTACTATCGCTACAATGGCTCCCTAACGACGCCGCCCTGCTATCAGAGTGTGATCTGGACGGTGTTCCATGAGAGGGTTCAGATCTCAAAGGCACAGGTGAGTCTGGGACACAGACACAGCTCACCTGAGGCGTAGAGAAGTAGATCCAACTCAACGATCACCTTTCGTTTAGGCACTGATAACATTTTCATTCATGGTGGATCTGTTTTTTTTTTTTTAAGCCTAGATATGTTTTATTATCACAGACTGATGACGGACATTAAAACTCACCTAAAAGTTTAGTATTATTTGTCTATTTCAACCTACAGTTGTTACTTATTGGCCTCAGAAATTATATTCTCACCATCAAATCACAAAAAAGCAAATCATTTCCCAAGCAAATCCTAAATTGAATAATCCTATACTGTTATAAGAAGCGAAGCATCAAATACTACATTAAAGTCTATTGCGTGAATTACTGTAAACTACAAATTTTCTTCTTCATTCCCTTGCACTGGATTTGCTGCAGTGTTTGCTGTTGATGTAATTTTTGTCTCCAAATGTTAGATTTCATCTTGCAAAACTACATTTATTTAGGATTGCTTAAAATAAGTAATAAGTTACATTAGAGTATAAAACACTGTGCATTTGGTTATCACTTCAGAAACAGGATAAATTTACAGGATTAAGGTAAGTTTCCACCTCTTGCATGCCCTTATTTGTGCCTGAAAAATAAAACTGGATGCAGATTATTCATTAGTAAATTTACTGAACAAATAGTTGATGTTTGCTCATTGAATCAATGTGCTCAATTTCACTTTATCTATATACTGATAAATGTTGACTGGACTATTCAGTTTCAGGTCAGTCCGTTACTTGAGTTTTTGCTGCTACGTCAGTCAATGAACTTACTTCCTGTTTTAAGTCGACTGCCTCAGGATTGCAGCTGTTCTCACCATCTCGCTCCTCTTCACGTCTCCACTCAAGCTGCTGAAAATGGAAACAATACTTTACTCCAGTAAAGCTGATAATCCCGACAGGATGCTGCTGCAGGACAACTACCGTGCAACACAGCCGCTCAACCACAGGGTCGTCTTCGCTTCCTTCTCCGCAGGTTAGACGGAGCGTACATGAGGAGAAATTCATGATGTGAAAAAATGACACCCACTCTTCCATGTTGACAGCTGACACTAAAGATATGCACTTTCTGTGTTAGGAATCATGTTGCTTATAAATTACATACTTAGAATCTTTTCTTTGGTTATTTCATTACTTATTTTATACTTCTTTATTATTATAATATTACCCGATTAGTTTAATTAATAATTAGTATATTCTTAGAGTTTTTCCTTTCAGATTGCGCAAATGTAGAGGTGTAAAAGGTCACAGCCAATCTGCTTTGAGCTCCAGTGTTTTGCCCCAACAACACTCCTACATTGGTGGATTGTGGTGCCAGCCTGCTGCTCATAATGCAAACCACAATAACAAGACAGAGGGTGGCCATGTAGACCAAAGCTAGCAATTAGCACAATCCACGCACAGAGTGGAAAGTGGAATGTGGCGAAAAATGTGGGAATATTAAGGATTACCGGTGACTTTGTCTGAGAGAGCCTTAGGAAGGCAGGAGTAGAGAGACTGACGGAGAAAGAAAGAAAGAAAGAGAGAGAGAGCGAGAGAGAGAGAGAGAGAGAGGGTGGCAGGGCAGTGTTTGTTTGCGAGCTGATTAGAGAAAAGGATTTTCGAAAACTAAACACTGACTCCATTGTTATCTCGTAAGTCTAACTGAGAAAAGGGGAGAGGAAAAAGAGACAGAGAAGTGAACGGGGGAGACAGAGTGTTAGACAAAGACAAAGGAGAAAGAATTTGTGTAAAGTGCTCATTGTAGTGAGTGACTGAACTGGAAGGCCTGTGATATCAGCACTGCTGTCAAAGGCAGCAAGACTGACTAGACACAACATTTCCAAACAGCTGAACAGCAAATTCTGTTGAGATAAAGCCACAAATCATTGTGTTATGAACTGTGTGACAGAAAAAAACAAACTACTGTGATTTTCTAATGATTTATTCTTTTATATGTCGTAGAAGCATGGAAGGAGCTATCTTCTGGTAAGACTACACAGGATTTTCCTGCATGTTTTTTGCTAAAAATCGAAGTAATTATTTGACTTATGTCAGTGATAATCGTGTCATGTCTTTACATTTATTTACCTATTCTTCTTTATTGCCATGTTTTGAGGAGTTTTCTTTCATCCCTCATGCTTCTTTGTGTTTTCTTCTGCAGGTGAAGTCACAGCCATAGTGATAGGAGTGATGTGTGGCTGTGTAGGTCTGGCAGTAATTATTCGCTTCATCGTGAAGACAATACGGTAAGAAATTCGGAGGCATTGCGCGGTTGTGATCTGTTCGCTATTCTGTTTCTACTCTACCCGTGGCTGCAGCAGACACTGGCCACCAGTCTGCTGTTGTTCTGGTTTAACTGGGCAATGTGCTGACACTATGGGAGACGTCACTGTGGAAAAATCCAGTCTCTTCTCATCCTCTATCTCCTATCTCCTGGCAGATTTTTTAGACTCCTCCACCGTGAAACAGTCGTGGTAAACAGGTGGCACACTTGAGCTCAGTACTGACAAAGATGCTCAACTAGCACTAACTGTGCTGTTTGTGACTTCTTTTTGTGCTTATCAGATATCCTTGAGCGCAGATCCTGGATCAAAGCTGTGATAAACAAATATTGTTTAGAGGCAAACTGGGAAAACTGTGATATTTGCATTGCTTATGGGCATTTTTTAATCCATGATGAAATACTGTTGTATCTTACAATGAATTATACCAAGAAGCCTGAATGTCTGCGGTCATCTGTGTAGCTCCGCAGGGACATTTGAGACATTTGTGGAAAACCTGATACAAACTGATATATTGTATAGCTGGTATTGGTGCATATATCAGCTAATAAGTAATGAGAAAATGCAGCATATACTGATATTATCTTTTTGATGTAATTTATAAACAGTTTCATCATAACATAGTTTGTGATTATTGATGTATTTATCAACAACTAAAATTCTTCCTGTGGTCATCCACAAGTGAAGGCTGCTGTATAAACTGATAATGAATGAAAATATACACATAGGACAAGTTACAATCATTTTTTACAGTAATAAACACTTAAAATGTACTTACATCTGCTTACAACCACATGACAGTTTCTTATAAACCATTTATTATTTTACATTAGTTAGCATTATGACCTTATGAAGATAGGTAGGTACTGCAAGGCAATACAACCTCACTTTGTTCCACACACTTTGATCAGTGCTTTATTAATTCAATAAGGAACGTGTTCGATCAGGGAACTTCCTCAGGCATCGACAAGAAACACCTATTCACAACAGTATATATAATAACTTGATGAATAATGATGCTAAACACCAGCAGCTTTTTAAAAAAAATTGCCAAAATGACATTATTGGTATGGGCCTTGAAACAGTGTTTGTTGGTCTCTCATGGAAATGTAAAAGCATAATCCTCATGTAAGGTTTCAACATAAAAGTTTAAAGCAGCCCTAGGATCAGCGCTAAGGATAATCTGATCTTCTGACCTCTGCTGCAATAACATGGCTGTTTCCCAATTCTCTCTTATTACTTTCTCCCATAATTACCACTGATTAATGAAAGTATGTGGTTTCCCCTGTGTCTGACCAGTAAGTGATTTAACCTTTCAACTGTTTTGATCAAGGGTTCCCAAAGTTCCCATATATGTGTTTATATCAATTCACGTTATGAGTCTTGACTCAAAAATATGATTTTCATTATTGGCTTTATTGTTGTATAGAATATGATGGGTAGAATGAAACCTCTCATCACAACCTTTCTGTAATCTTCTCACACTGTTCAATCTTTATGTGATTACAGTGAACTTATGACCTCCTTTGTTTTTCCTGGTGTCCCCCGGACACCTTGTCAAGGAGCCTTCAGGGGCCCCCCTTTACCTCACTTTGGGAACCTCTGGCTTTCATATTGTCAATCAATCATGTGCAATTATTTTGAAATGTCACCTCTGATCCTTCCATCTAATGAGAGTGGAGGAGGGAGAGAAAATGAGATTTTGAAATATTTGCACACCATCACATTGAAATGTTAAATTTAAGATCTTCTCTCTGTTTCTGGTCATGTGATTCTGTCTTTTGATCTTGTGACAGCTCTACCTCTAGCTGGGACGTCCTGCCCAGTAACCGGCCTGCTCCCATGCCAAGGTCACCGTTCAAAATTATGACCTTTGACCTCAAAATATTAACTTCGATTTCAGAGTTAGATTCCTGAACATGTCTTTGTTTTAACCACTCATTTACAGTGTCTTATAATATTATGTTAGATCCTAACACCTCCGTTAGAGTATTAGTGTCTAAAGAAATTCCGCAGACTGTGAGGAAACCTGCTTTTACATTAGAGACCTATAGAGAAGCCTTACAGTGTTGCATCTTTCTATCAATCCATCCATCCATCCATCCATCCATCTGACATACTGTCCTTTTGTCCTCAGTTTTTAAGGCTGATGCTTTAGGAGTTTTGTCAGTAGTCCATTGCCGCCGTGCATCCACAGTATAACCCCCACTGTCCACTGGATGTGAATGTGATGTGTTTTATCATCATAGTAGCTGCCGTGATGGTCTGGCGAGACCAGAGAGTCTCGCCTGTTGCCCTGTTCCCTATCCCACCACTGTCTTTATTTGCTGGGTCTGTTTCTTGTCAGATCAGCTGCTTCTCTAAAGCCAGAAATTTTACTTGTGATGAGTGACACAGACAGCACAAAAAGACAGAGATATTTTAAGGGCTTCTAATATACACTATTCAGGAAGTACTGATACCAGATGGGATGGGACAGTTATTAAACTATGCAAAGCACATGCAGATATAACATATCAGTTACCACATCTAAACTAGCTGCAATCATATCCTTATGCTTGTAGAACATAAAAACACAGACAAAACAACTCAAAACTGTATCGGAAATGTGGCTGCTGAAGAAAAGACACTATAGTTTTGAAAAGTCTCTCTGCAATGGAGATGTGGCAATCCAGTGGGCATCCTGGTTAACATGTCTCCCTCTCCTAGTTTATTCTAATCTGACACATTGTAGTAATTTATCCACTTAATGCCATATCACCACTAATTCATTTACAATGTCATCATGTGTTACTTCTCTATTACACATGCATATCTTATTCTCAGTGTTCTAAAACACTTTTTTTCATTTGTCTTATTGCGAACCATGTCATTTTATAGTGAACTGGACAAAGAGGGACCTCTGCTGGACAATATAACAAACTACACCAACACTAAGAAATCTATTGTCCAGCCAGTTTTGCAGCATATGGGTTGACTCAGTAGGAATGACTCTTCTATTTGGTGTTTTAGGATGAAGGAACCAGAGAAAGCAAAGGAGAAAAAACAAGACATGGCTCTGAACTCGACCTCTGAAGCAGAAAAGAAAGAAGAGCCCTCACCGTCTCTTCAGACCGAGCCCTAGCTGACAGCATGGACCACTTCAGGCCTTGTTCAGACACTCAAACGCTCTCTTCTTCCCTCCAGTCATGATGTTATCACTGATCCATGTCTCCTCAGGGGACAGTTAGCAAACATGTTCTCACAACATGTCATAAAAAGCAGCAGGAAAAACCATTTTATAAACAGTGAGGGAAGGATGTAAACTGGACACAGGACAAATCACCTGCTGCCCTGATTACTTAACTGTTTTTCAGTATTATTTTTCCACCCAAATTCAGAAGAGCAGTCTTGGTATCAGACATTTCTTCAGTTTACACTTGAAGCACATGGTGTAAATATGTCAGTTTGCTGGCTCTGAGTTGTATGTTTGCTCTTGCAATGCCTGGGTTGCATGATTGGTTCATGTAAATACTTTGTAAAATATATATTTTGTTGTTTTTTTCACATTTGGCTGTTATTTCATCTTGTTCATCCTGCCTTGAAACACAAACACACTGTACTGTATGAAATGTTATAGACTCGTTTATTGTTTAAGTAATAATCAATATAATGTTGACATTAAAACACACAAGAGTTAAAGCAGAGTAAACTAAAATTGTATGATTAAAGTCTAAAGTGATTTGAAGCACGTTTGATTTGTATATAGTGATGCTGTCCGAACATATTGGCTCTGAATTTAAATCAGCAGATTATGTTGTAAATGGATGAGTTATATTTATGTACATGTGTTCATTCTATTGGAAGAATGATTTTCGGTGCCATATCATTGTTGTCTGAATGATGTTTTTGCTGTATATAAATTGTCAGTATGGGCACCACATTAAAACACCTGAATGTCCAACTCAGCTGTTTTTTTTCATTGTCTGTGACTAACATTATCTGGATCAGATTACAGTTTTTTTCATTAAGATACAAAGTAAGTAGCCTGAATTTTACAACTATGTGTGTTTTGTTAAGTAGTTGTACTGCAGCACATACAAGGAGCAGTGACTCAGACGTAGCTCTTGTTGAAGAAAATTGAGAGTTTGGATCTTTGCAGGTTGCAGGGGAAAGCTGAAGGGTAAAAAAAAAAAAAAAAAACACTCCATAACTGTTTTGTGTGAAATCTTGACCAGTAGAAGAAAAGACCGAAATGACTGAGGGAAAGAAATGAGAAGCTCAAAGAGAAGAGAAATGTGAGCTAAGAGTGTATGTGCAGTGTATTAATCCCACTTTATTTTATTTATCTAACTTATTTCACAATTGAAACTGTAGTGAATAAAGCCTTTACATTACCTGGGTAAGCTACAAAGGAACTGCCCTTCTTGGGATAAATAAAGTCTGAATTAGACCATACTTTCATTTAGGGTTTGACAAATACTAAATTAGGCCATGTCATTATTGAATGTTGAAGGAAAACAAAAGTAGGCCAAGCGCCTGTAGGTTTATCTGATTACACATGTATACATTTATTTCCCAGATTTATTTATTTATCATACATTCTATGTATTCACGTCCGGGAATGTGCGAAATTTTAAGGTTACTTTTCTAGATTCTCACTATGAATGCTTTGGTCAGAATTTGACTATTTAATCTCTTTCTGCATATTCTGGAAAACTCTTGAATCGTGATTAATATGAGAGTTCAGGCGGTCATTACACCTGTACCATCTGGTGAGTAGCATGTCTGTACAGAGAAGTGAGCCAAACACAGAGGTCTGAAACAAGACAAGACAATGAGGAAGTTGTAGCTATATTTTACTTCTGAAAGCAGGTTTTTTTTTTTTTTTCACTGAAGCCTATACTCACTACCTTTGTCTGCTTAAAGTGATGATTTTATTGTGATTTAATCTGACATTAAACTAATTTTACATTTTCTGTTATTTTATATCAACTTAGTTTTCCGGTTAAAGGGTTGTTCTGTCCAAATTCACCAAACACAGAATATTACCTTTCCTGCCTCTTTCAGTGTCTTGCGATGCAGTTAGTTTGGTTTTATTTTTCCTGGTTCTGAGATATTCATCGCCACCTAAACATCTGTATTCTGAAATATGTATCATTGCTTGTAAACATCATTCAAACCAAGACTTTCTTAAAGTTTCAGTAGACCATCACTTTAGTAGAATACACTGGGAATGGAAGAAATGTTTTCAGCGAGACTAAACTGAATAAAATGATCATACCAATATTCAATATGTTTTTACACATTAAGAGTGTGTGCATGTTAAACTCTGAGTTACACATTTTAACACTTACATTAGATGTGAAGCAGTTCAGTTTATTAAATCAATACATACAAATAGGAATATGTAGAGGAATGACTGTAGAACTAATGTGAAATTCTCTAAATCTTCATCACTCTAATTAGGCCCCCTTCTCTAACCAAACAAGATGGTATTTGTATTAATGACACCATAGAACTAATAATTATTGTAGCCTACATTAAGTAGGTGCACTGGGGGGGTCCAGCCTGTGGATATAATAATACATAGACAGTGACAGCATCAAATTAAAAGACAAATATACTACTGGTACTTCATTTAGTCAGAATCTACTAGAAGTCTTTTTCATTCACATCTAGGTTTTCACATATTTCTGTTCATTAATACCCACATGAACATGAAACCTTGAAGTAGTCTTCCCTTAAATGTGGTTGTAATTGTACAGATTAGTAAAAAGTAATTTTCCAAGCCCTGATGAGCCACACACAGTCAAACGTACACTAAAAGTAATATTAAATATATAAGATGTCATTTGAGACACACATACAAACTGCTTTGCATAAGGTAGCACACAGGCTAGCTAGCTTCTAAACATAGCTGACTGGATCTTTAATATGTATTTATAGCAGTAACTGGATCACCTCTCTCCATGACTGCTGCTCTAAAGCACAGCCATGTGGACAGAGTTATGTAATGCTGGTGTGCACATGAAGATTAGTCCACACCCACACACTTCTTGAAGGAAGTGAAATGCGGAACTGCCACTGAAGGACAGAAGAAAGATCTTACAACAGGAGTTTTTAGATCACTTGGAGCTCACAGAAGTCTAAATAAGGTAGGGAAGTTTTCTCCTCAAACAGCTGTTCTACATCATCTCCTGCCTTCATGTTTAACAAACCTACACAGACAAACAGCTGTGGCTTTGTCAAACTTGGCTCTTGTACACACACTGTTGACTTTATTACATGTCATGAAACTCAGTTTGGCAAAACATGGAAACAGAAAAAATAAGATGTAACTAAGTTCTTTGCCATGATTGAAGTAAAAGGCTGTATTAAATGTAGTTTTTGTTCCACTCTAGATCCTTGGGTAATGGCTGCTCTCAGGGTTTTCCTCACTCTTGCCATCTGTCTCCAGATGGGGCATCAGACGTTTGCTAGAAACGACGCTCCCTGCCAGCGCGGCAAATGGAACAACAGCTACAACACATTTGTGAAACGCCACATTCGCTCTGGAACTCCTACTTCTCTCGACCAGAACCAATGGGAAAATTACATCAGGAATAACGGGGGTTGCGAAAGACCCACACAGTCTTTTCTTCAGCCAAAAGACCTGGAGAGGGTGAAGGCTGTGTGCACGAACTCAGGGGGGAAGAGGTACAAGGAGAACCTGTGCATCAGCGATCAGCCTTTCAAGTTTGTCACAGTGAGGAGTGTACAGGGAACCTGTGGCATCAAGAGTGTTCGAGAGGAATCTAAACATCTGATCCTGGCCTGTGAAGTGCTGGAAAATCAGTGCCTGCCTATCCATTTCGAGGGAAACCCTGACAATGTAACACCTAACAACAACGCCAAAGGCTGCCAGGACCCACAGACTAAAGACCATGCTACCAGCTTTAAAATGACGTGGCTCCAGATGTTGTTTGTTTTATTTATGGCTATTAACTTTTTTTAATATGAGGAACTAGATATGACAATTAAGTTTTTATCAGGGGACATTTTGTTCATTAGAATCTTCTCCCGAACACATTTGAGCAAAACCTTTTAAAGTTCTGAAATTGAATTTACAGTGTTTGTTTAACATTTTATAAAATATAAAATGGTATTAAATCACAATCACATCACCACTATATCAACCACATTTTTAGAGTGAATTAATTTTTATAATCACTATTATATGCTTGTGCCTATGTATCTGTAAGTTTGCTTTTAATCGTTGTGCTAAATAATAAAATAAAATAAATAACAGAAAAACAGGGTGCTACTCTATTAGGACATCAGGACAAAAGTCTCAATCTTCCAACTATAATCAATGTAAGACTAAATAAGTGGCTTCCATGACGCTGAAACTCATGTGAATGGGGTGTTCAAATACAAAACCTAAACCACTTCTTTATCACAGCTTTAAGTTTCCACAATAAAACCATAAATAGTGTCGTGAGGGACTGAGTCACATAAACGAACAGTGAGTCATTCATCCAAATAGAGGAACACCTTGAAACGCTTTATCTTATTTCAACACGTGACATAACACTGTAACATTATGTTACAGAAACCATAAAAGCTGCAGAAAAGAGATGCAAGACCCAACTGTACTATACCAGATGCTCTGAAAAGATTTTCTGGCTCCAAACCAAAACCAATATCACCAAAAAAGTATTTGCTTAGATCCATAACTGGAACACTTTGGTCAGGTAGGTTTGTTTGTTTTTTTTAATATATGTATCAGCTGTGCATCCACCACAGATTCCTGTACTGTGTGTCTTTCCACATTATAGGCATCCATTGACTAATTCTTCATTCCTTAAATCTGGCCTCCAGTACTCTACTGCATTCACCCCTATAATACTGTCCAACAACCAATGGACACTTAAAATAAAAAAATAAAAAAACTTTTAAAATCGACACAGGAGAACCAGATATGACGCCTTTTTTCAAGTGACATCACTTGAGACTAATTATACTTGGTGGTACTCCCCCGATGTGTAAAAATCAGTGGTTCAATTCTTTAACGTTTAACCTCTTACAGTGCTGTATGTAACCACTAGGTGGCCCCAGGTTAGAAAGTCGCTAGTTAGGTTGTGGTAAGATGATTAAACATACTTATTTAGTAAGATGCACCATGTAAGCACAGTATGTACTGAAATAATATAAGCCTTAAAACTATTTACAGCCTCAAGATTAGGTAAAATTTCAGGTAATGCTTTAAGGCTTTTATCAATTCAGTTAATAATGTCCTTAAATGATGTGTGTAGTATTAACAAACACATTTTCATTGGTTTCTAATCCAGCCTTGATCTTTAACCTTCTTCATCGTAGAAACTTTGCAGGAACCTTGACCTAACCTCGTTTCTAAAACTAAGTCCTGAACTCCTAAAAAGCCCTGGAGCGCCTGGAGGCCTATGTGGATTACAGCACTCTGAAAAGTTGTCATCGCTCAGCGTATTTCACAGTAAAATTGGTTCTCACGGAGACAGATACACACAAACACAAACACAAACACACACAGTTTTCCAACAGTTTTCTGGACAAACTTGCATGTCTTCTGACTGCACCTGTCCCTGCAGGGATTTGAGTGGGTCTGTGTGTGCAGACACGCAAGTGCACAAAACAGAAATAAACATTAACAACAATAGTTTGATCAGTTACAGTAGGTCAGCATAGCTACACATGCCCAAACATCTCCCACATGTAACGCCAGAAAGTTCCAGGTCTGAGTCAGGAGACATAACATCACCTATTTGGCTCCACTAGATGGCAGGAGAGTTACTTATTACCCACCACAGGAGTCCCAGGACTCAAGATCTTTGATGAGACCTGTCCATTTGTCCAACAACTGTTTTGTATTTTGTACTTGGTCTGCAAACATTGCATTATTTAGATATGATTAATTGTGAAAATGTTCCC